TTGAATTTGAAGCGTCATGGTTGCAGCTTTATAATTTCTTTTAAAAAGCTGGTCTCACAGTAAACTAACCGTGGCTTTTTGCATGGAAGTGGTATACTTCAACAGCAGGTTGTAAAATGCTTGCACAAGCATCATCTTGCATATGTGGGCAGAATGTGTTCACTTGTCTGTTGGATTAGTCGCATATCCGCTGTCATTGATCTACTGAATTTACCCTAAATCCAGTGGACAAATGATAATTTGAATACATCTCAGTTTCCTCTTCTAGTTTTTTTTAGTCCAATACCTTATGATGTACATAGAACAATTAGACCACAGTTAAACTTTTTTTATAAAAAAATGATTTAACCATAGAGAAGGATTGCAAAGCAACTGTTGCTTTGTGTTCATTTAATCCATTTCCATGCTGTGTAGAATTTCTAAATTAATTACTTTCCTCAACGAGCAAAACAAAAAGTGCTAATTTGGGCTTCGAGCGGGTTGTAAAACTGCCTTTGTTACTTTAGCTTCTTTTGTTGGGTCATGGGTATTATTGTGTAATGACTCATACCTGACAAGATGCAATCTTTTAGATTTTAATTTAGTTGTTTTTATAAAAAAACATGACTGATTTAAATTCTGTGCTATTACAACTACCTGGTGGTCTTTCCGTGTGGGTAGCTTTGAAACCATTACTGCAGTACAAACCTATCTGTAGATGGGTCACACACTTCAATACCACTGTGGGTGAACAGGACCTGTAATCCACAGTTTTGTGCCCATTATACTGTTCTTTGAAGAAGGGTAAAGTGATTGTCAGATAATAGTGTCTACAAACGCAAACTGGTAACAGTGATCCTCAACTCCAGAAGGGTTTTGCACCAATTTTTATTAATCAGATTTTTTAGAATTATAGCTTGTGTCAAATATGAGCAATTTTGTACTTTGCACTCTACCCACTTGGAATAAAGTTGAGCCTATCAAGCTAATTCAAACTTCTATTCCATTAATTACCTTAAGTGATGGGTTTGACCATTGATTGGACCTTTATGGTAAACTTCCTTATTGATCTGATGAAAAAGATCCCTTTTGATATAGCGCCTTTCACATTGGGAGGATGTCTCAAAGCAATTCACTGGATTTTGTTGTAAAGTGTTGTGACTATTTTTAGCTAATTGCAGCAAACTGATTTACACACAGCAGTGTCCCGTAAACAACCAAGTGAGTGCCCAATTTCATTTGGGGGATTATGGCCAGGACATCGGGAGAAATTACCTCTCTCTGCCTTCCCTCCTCCATGCTCGGGCCTCGACTGTTCAGTGCTTTGGGACGTCCTCCCGACTAGAAAGGCGCTCTATGAATATAATGTTGTTGTTGTTGAATAATGCCATGGGATCTTTAACATCCACCTGAACAGGCAGATGGGACCTTAGTTTTTAATGTCTCATCTGAAGGACAGCATTCCAACAAAGCAGCATTTCCTAGTTTCTTAGCTGTTATCAGACACGGCAGAAATTGATGGATTATGATTGACTACAATGCTTCTTTGCCAGTGTGAGAGAAGTTGGTCAGGATTTGTGTTGTAGTACAATATTCAGTAATTATAATTCCTGATGGAAAGTGTGTATATGTGGTTGTCTGATGGGGCTTGGCTGACAGTTGGATTAGGTTGCTGATGTCTTCCATAGACAAATAACCTGATATAATTTGCTGTATGGCTCACCACTTGAGCTAAGAATCAGAACAACTACCTCGGCATGAACTGGCAAATTCAAAACGGAAGAGGGGAAATCAATTAATGTTATTAACTACTTAGAACATTGTAATCTTGAGTTTTCTCGCACAAAGATTTGTTGTATTGCTATTATTAATGCTATCAAACATAAGTCAGTAAGAATCACAGGTATGCACTCTGCATTGGTCCTCCAGTGTCCTACATTACATCAAAAAGTAAGAGCAAAATTGATGTCTCACCACTTGGTATTATTCTTATTGCTGGGGATGTCTGCAGTTATGTTAAACTGTATAAAACTAATTACGAGAATAATAGTCCTTTTACATCATAACACTAAATCTTAATTGTGTAAACACCTCCTGGTTTCATACAGGGAATTTGTTTTTTAATAAATGTTATGCAAAATATGATTAGTTCCTGTGGATATCAGAAGGTTCATTCCGAAGGTACCACTGACTAGCAGCAATTTGTGTAAAACTGTACTTAAAAAAAATTCCTTATAGCACACAATGTTGGAACGGTAATACAGAGTCATAAATTGTCTCACCTGTGATTCACCCAAATAGAATTCGGATTTTAACATTCTCCTGTTTATAAATGCCCTCAGGTCCTTGCAGAATAGTGTAGCAGAATCCAGAGTGTCTTCTCAAAAGCAGCTCACAGGAAATGACTTCTTAACAACCCGATGACCTGGGAGTCAGCCATTTTGTCTTCTTAGAAACTGTGCAGCATGGGAAGCAGGCTGGCTTTCATGCATGTGCAACCATACTTCGTCTTTGTGTAGTGCTTGTGCACTTACAGCAAGTTTAAAAAGTGGAAAATAAAGGATGCTCTGCCCTCAGATTTGGGGTGGGGAGAGAAAGAGGGGAGAACCTTCATTTATTCTGAATTGTTTTCATTTGAAAACCATAATCCTCCGTGTTAAAATAGTAATCTTGCTAACTAACTAATTGTTAGTCAACTGGAAGCAGATTATTGATTTTGAGTAAAATTGGGAAATTAAATTGGTCATGCAGCAATTAAAGATTAATTTTCTTAAAAGAAGGAAATGAAGACAAAATTGGTAATCTTGCAGATAAGGTTAAATGGGTTCTTAGTTCTTTGAGAATTAAGTGGTTACTAACTTATGTCTCGTCACTCTCAAACTATGCACGTGCGTGTAGTCATTCAGATGAGATGTTACACTGGCTGAGCCTGTTCACATGGATCCCTTGAGACTATTCGAAAAGAGAAGGGAGTCGTTCCTGGCGATGAGGCCTACAATTCTCCAGTTAAATTGATTATTTAATTTAAACATGGCTGTTTGTGGGGACATACGCTGTCTAGACTCTACAGAAAAACCTCTGAAGCGCCTTTAGATGTTTCTACGTGATGAGGTCCTATATCATATGCAAGAATTATTATTGATCTCCCAGGGAATGGTCCAGAGTTGACTATTGAGTTGGTGGTGTGGTGTTTGGTCATATCATCTCACTTTCCAGTATGTTAACATCTTCTCATTAACATTTCAACTGATTTGATCAGATCAAGATAAGTTCCTAGTGGGGGAAGGTCACAAGCACAATCTTTATGGTTTATAGTACAGTGAAGAGAGTAGAGAGCTTTATCAAATAGGAACTCAGATATAACAGTACCTATAATGTTCAGTTTTTAAGGATATATGTCCATTTCACAAGCTCAAAGATTCACCAAAGAGAGGTACCATTTTATCAGGGATTCTTCCAATGGGTTTTCAGTAATATGAAATTGTGATGCATAGTACTATCACTCACCTGACTTCTGTAGATAGATAATAAAGATCCATGACCTTTCAAGAAGAGTTCTAGCTATCATTCTCTAGATAAAATGTGCTATTCACCTCAGTGGTGGGGTTGGGTGCTGAGCGAGAAATAAAGAGTTGTAGATGACCATAGGCGCGGTTGAAGAAGTAGGTCTTAAGGTGGGATTTAAAGACGACAAGATGAGGCGGAGGGATTGAGGTGGGGAGTTCCAGAGAAAGGGGCGTAGAGACTGAATCCATTGTTAGTGATGTGAAGGGTTCAGGGTATGCACAGCAGGTAAGTAAGTATTAGTTGAGCGAAGGAAGGGGGCAGAGGAGCGAGTTACGAGCAAATCAATGCAACTGTTTCTGTATTCCCCACGTGTACGCAAGCCAGCCCTACTTCCCATCCTACAACATTTCTGGTATACCAAAATGGCGAACTCCTGGATCATCAGATTGCTAAGTGTCACTTCTTGTGAGCTGCGCCATCTGATGACTGGGAAGTTGGCCCTGTAAGAAAACCTCAACTGGTGTTCTCAAGTGATTGGTCTGCTTTCTGTGCAGTTTGGAGTTGTCCGGTATGTCTGTAGTCTTCGCTTCAATAAACGAACCCACATTATAACAGTGTTCCATTGTTTGTAACATTAATAAAGTGCAGGTGATAGGAGAACTTCTGGATGAATCACACATATGCTCATTACTTTCTCTTCTACTTTCCTCTTTGCCTTGCTCTATCCTCTCTTTACCCATCCCCTTTCCTCCCTTGTTGCTTCTTGTTACTGGTCTTATGTGTAAGGGAGCTAATGTCGCACAGCAATGGATTGTGCAAAACCTTGCAGTTCAGTCAGTTTATTCTCTGCTGATTTCTGAACACGGTGCTCTGGCTCAGTGCATTCTGGTTAGGATCTCTTTGTGAGTGGATTGTATCATAAATTTATACTAATGTATTCTAGAAATACTATAGCTGTGTAGCTAACATTTGTTTAGCACTTGTTTGCAGTAGAATGGCAGGCTCAATAGCAGGAGGAGTTTTGTTTACATGCCTCTTCAATTTTTTGTCATGTTCTGCATCATTGCTATAGCAATTTGTAGCCACATTTTCAGAGCTACTGGAACAAGATGTTTAGAATTTGAATTGTGGTTGGCTCTATTCTGGAAAAGAGCAATGATTCTGTGGTAGGTTCCACTGCACAGCCACAGATCATCGACTAGCTGCAACACATTATCTACTACACTAATTGAAGATGAGTTTTTAAAAAAAAGTTCTATTGAAGTATTTTATCTAATTTAACTTGTTTTTGAAAAGGCACAAAGCTTAGTGAAGCTGCTGAACTTTGATTGTGGAATTGAAAGTTTTGATGCAAAGCTGTGCCCATATTAACGTTGGAAAATTCCCGGTTTTCTTGTTGAACTGCTGCAATGGTAGAAGAAAAAGATTTCTACATCTGCTTTTCAGAAATGTGAATGGTCTTGGGCTTTCTTCATTTTACCCTACATCATTTCTACATGTTTTCTCTTTCACAGAAATGCTACGAACACAAGCAGTACAGACATGGGTTGAAGTTTTGCAAACAGATTCTTAGCAATCCTAAATATGCAGAACATGGAGGTAAGTTAGATTTGTCATGGTGACAGCTATGATACTCAGTTTGTTTTTGATTATTAGGTATTATGTTGTAAACTGCTATCCTTTCTATTGAGTTGCATTTACTTACTGTTCTTTCTGTTTTGTATAAAGTTTTATCTATACATATATAATATATATTGGCTTGTTTCATTGGCTTGTGTTGGCAATATTTCTCAAATATTCATGTGTTCCTGTGGCCAAAATATCAATTGATCTGATTTTAAAAAAAGTTATCAATAGGATAAGTGTGTGATGGTGTCCTTTTGAGACCATAAATTCTATCCCTGGTAGATATTTTATTAGGAAGTGGGAAGATGGGTCTGAAAATCAAAGATGAGCAGCATTGATTTTCTAGCTACTAAAAGTCTAGAACATTGAAGGGTTAATGTTTCGACTCAATTTGTTCAGTTTAAGAACTTTTTTAACATAACATGTAGGAGCAGGAGTAGGCCATTCGGCCCTTCAAGCCTGCCCCGCCATTCAATCATGGCTGATCTTCTAATCTAACTCCAGCTAATAACCTAACCCTGCCTTATCCCCATATCCCTTAATCCCTTTTACAATAAGAAATCTATCTATGATTTTTGTAAATCACTTTGCGCTATAGCCTCTTCAATTAGAGATTTGCCAATCTTCAATTAGAGAATTGGTAATTTTTTAAAAAAAGTTTCCCTTATTTTTTTTGCCTCTGAATTGGAAGTCTTGTTGCAAAGCTGCACCCATGTTATTGTTGGACAATCAACAGTTTTAACATTGAACTTCTGCAATGGTAGAAGGAAAAGATTTTCATGTCTGTTTTTCAGCATACTGTACCTGTAAAGGCAAAGCAGATATCTCCATGACGATTCTCATTAATTAACTCACTCAAGTATGTTGAGTGACTGTTTCCTACTGTATTACTACTGTATTACATGATTTCTTTTGTATTGCTGTCTATGTCCTGATTATGTTTAAATGTTGGTTTGATTTTAATTTAAAATGAATTGTACTAATCTGCCATGATGGATCAGTTTTAATTAACATTGTTCTGAAATCCAGGATCTGTGGTTCATAATAGTTAGGCTTTAGAATTCAACAAACTTTGTGCCGGTTTGTATCCTGCTCAATGCCAATTGGCTGCCACGTTTGCCTAAACATACAGTCACTACACGTCACAGTAATTACCTGTGAGACACTTTGGGATATTTCAATGTTAAAGGCACTGTCAAATACAAGTAGTATTATGTAACAGTTGGGCGGTAATAGTACTCACTGCAGATATTATTGACTTTGTCCTTTCCCACGAATGGTAACTTAATCCTATTTGGTTTGTACTAATCATTCACAAAAGTATTTTATTGTAACTGTCTATTTGTGAATGATAGGTAACTATCTCATTCCAATGTGTGTGGTGACCAGAGGAAAAATGGTGCTCGTAAAAATCAAACAGAATACTGATTTGTCACAATTCCCTTTGTGGAGAAGTACTGCCAATTAAGATGTTAACTTTGGTCAACATCTTAAAATGTATTGTTTCTGTTTTGGGGCCCAACAGCATATTTGTCAAGTTATTTGAGATGCTGTTTAAATGATAGACTCTACATGTAAGTTAATATTCTTTGATATTTATTTGCAGTTGGGCAACAAATGGTTGCAATGTCCGGATGCTCGAGCGCAGATGGCAGAAATCCGGCCTCGCGATTCACCACCAGCTGTGGCTCGAGCACCTCTGCACCTACTGCCTCTCCCTTTCACAGGCCAAAACTGACTTTTACTCCAAAGTCATCCTGGAGGCAACCAACAATCCAAAGATGCTGTTTTCCACTGTCCATCACCACCTCCATTTACCCCCTCTAGCTCCCTCTATCCTCACATCAAACGCCAAGCGTGAAGAGGTCTGAGACTTCTTTGCCTCAAAAATTTAAAACATCCTCTTGGCTACATTGTCCTCTTTTTTCCGCTCTCCCCGCCCACCCAGACCATAAACACAGCCTTCTCCCTCCAGCGCGGCTCCTGCAACTCCCCCCTCCTTACACTCCTTTGTCCCCATTTCTTCCTCCTTCTCAACCAAAATAACTTGGATGAAGTTCATCACCTGCTACCTTGATCCCCTCCCCACTTAGCTGCTGGTTACTCAACTCCTCCTTCTCTCCGCCCTGCTAGCCTACACGGTCAACCAGTATCTCTCCTCAGGCTCTGTTCCACTCCCACTGAAAACCGCTGTCATCACACCCCTCCTGAAAAAACTCACCCTCGAACACTACCGGCCCATTTCCAACCTACCCTTCCTTGGCAAAGTCCTGGAACACATTGTTGCAGGTCAACTTCAGTCACACCTCTCCCTCCACTCCCTCCTTGAGCCCCTGCGGTCTATTTGCTGTCCACAGCACAGAGACAGCACTTGTCACAAACGACATTCCCTCTCTCTGTGACCAGGGCTGCCTCTGCCTCCTCGTCCTCCTGAATCTCTCTGCCGCGTTTGACACATTCGACCATGCCATCCTCCTCCACTGCCTTTCCTCCGTCATCCGCCTTAGTGGGACCGCACTTGCATGGTTCGAGTCCTACTTAACCAACCACCTCCATTTCGTCTCAGCAAATGGTTTCTCCTCCCGCTCTCGCCCGTTCACCTGCAGGGTATCCCTGGCTCCATCCTTGGCCTTCTTCTTTTCCTTATCTGTATGCTTCCTCTGGCGATGTCATGTAAACTTCCACAGATGACACACAAATCTACTTTACCTTCTCCAGTACCATCTCCAGGTCCACCGATGTTCTGTCTGCTTGTCTGGCAGACATCAGGGCCTGGATGAGTATAAACTTCCTGCAGCTGAATATGGACAAGACAGAAGCCACACTCCTTGGCCCTTGGCTCCCGTCAACGTCTTCACTGCTGCGGATCTATACTCCTCAATCCCCCTAGGCTCTTTGTTAGACTCACCGAACCAGTTCACAACCCAGGTGTCTATTTCGATCCCCAACTGTCCCCTCCCCCCATCCCCCCATATCCCCTACACACACACACACATCCAGTCCCTAACCGGGACTACCTTCTTCCACCTCCGTCACATTGCCAGCCTCCAGCTGTACCTTACCCCAAATGCAGCTGAAACCCTCGTGCATGCGTTTATTACCTCCCGCTTGGATTACTCAAATGCACTCCTCGCTCAATGTACTCAAGTGCACTCCACTCCCCACCACTCACAAGATTCAGCTCATTCAAAACTTGCCGCCTGCATACTGACCCGGACCAAACTCCGTACTCGCATCTCACCAGTTCGAGCTGGGCTCCACTGGCTCCCCATCATTGAATGAATCGACTTCAAGATCCTCACGCTCATGTTCAAATCCATTCACTCCCTGGTACCTCCCTATCTCTCCGACCTTCTCACTCCGATCCACCACCTCCTCTCGACTGGCACCGGCTTCCTGCTCGTCCCTCGCATCCTCCGCCCCACCATCAGAGGTTGCGCTTTCGGCCATTATGCCCCAAAACACTAGGACGCTCTCCCTCAATCCCTCGGCCTCGCCCCTTCTCTCCCGGGGCCTGGAGTCAGGCTCTACCACTGTTGAGTGTTCTGAGACGCTACCCTGTGTGGAGGGCGCTATATAAGTGCTTGTTGTATAATTAGCAGATGATGTTAGCTGAGTAGCACACTGAAATGGCATGTTTCCACAAGCATGTAGGGAAGGAATTCGCTCCTACCAAGGAAAACGTTTTTCACAGCTTACTGGAAAGTATGTTCTACAGTTATTTTCTGAGAACTGATGTTAAATTCACCAGAAAAAAAAAAGGAAAATTTGTACACAAGCTAACTTGTATCTCAGCAGAACGCTCAGGCTTAGTGTCTGACTCATTCGTTCGAAAATGTATGAGCCTAGGTGGGACTTGTTTGCAGAGAGAAAAGAACATATTGGAAAAGGGAATGGAAAGAATGTACACAAGTAATGTTTTTTACTACTAAGTTTTGACTGTCACAAACGCTAATTGACAACAGCTTTTCATTATTGTAATGTAAAAATTGTTAAATGTGGTGATTCTGATTCTTTTTAGAGACCCTGGCAATGAAAGGCTTAACTCTGAACTGCTTGGGGAAGAAGGAAGAAGCATATGAGTATGTGCGACGAGGCCTCAGGAATGACCTGAAGAGCCATGTCTGTATCCTTTTGAAATTGATTTTCTCTTGTGTTGAATGTGTGACTGGTAGATCAAAGGATAATCTACATGTGCCTGTATAATTGTGCTGTTAGGCAGATGCAGGCTTTGATCCTATTTGACAGTCGAGCTTTAGCATTGTCAGTAGGAGGAGATGAAGTCCAATGATGCTATCGGTTAGCATGGTTTGTGGCACCAATTTTCCTATGAATCTCAGTAATTACTTTATTACATTTTCCACACTCCCCTTGCTCTGATTTCTTTAGCATTGTGTAAGCTTTGAGTTATTTAAATTCACAGCTCTTGTTTTAGTGTATCATTTTTAACAGTTCTCCCCCCTCTCTCCCTTCTCTCTCCCCCCCCCACACACACACACTCTTTAACCAAACCCGAGTGATTTCTCATGAAATTGGACACATTGTGAATTGTGGCTACGTGTCCATAAGCCACCTCTGGTTGATCAATCGTCTGTTTGTTACTCTAGTATCTTAAAATGTTATCACTGAATTTAAGTTCTTTGGACTTTAATTACATTTTGACACTGGGTGCATTGGAAACCATTTTCATATACAATATTTATGTGCCCATGAAGATGGATTTATGACTTATGGTCACAATTGAAAAGTTTCATATAATTTTAGTTTTAGAGTGCGGAAGGTGAGAATTCCACATTTACACAAAAATTAATTGGCGATTTATTTTTTAAAACCTTGCCTGCCTTTATGTTGCATTGAGTACTTTAAACTTTCCACCTCTGCATTTTGCTGACATTTCTGTTTTGATTTCTAGTGCAGTGAGATAGCTCATTTGCTGTGTTCTGGAGTTCCTATTGTTCAGCAATTGTGGAATTGGAAAAAGATCACTGCAAATGTACAAAATAGTAGAACCACGGCAAAAAAAAGTATACTTTTATTTCTCTTAAATTTGCTTGCAGTTTTTTTTCATTTTCTGTGCAAGCCCAGTTAGCGCTTGAATCCTAACGCTTGGAAGGCTTTATTAAGCTAAAGGCAAATGTCACTTTGAGTTGCTGATGGCTTGCAAATTGACAATCATTGTCTGGACTGTGCTGATGTAGTCGTAACATCTGCTGATGAATGCAGATCATTGTAACATGATAGCTTTTTGATAATAGAATGTGTTAAATTCATTCTGGAGTGCCAAATAGTCACTGGTCAGTTACAACATCCTAGTCATGTTTAATGTCTGGGGTAATAAATTTAATGCAGTTTTATTTTCTCAGAAGATTGACTCCTCACAATTCAGCATTTTTTAATATAATTTGAAACCCATCAATCGTGTTTTGTATTTATTGGTTGCTTAAAACAAATGAGTTCTAAAATTTGAATAGGATTGTACAGCATGGAAACTTACCACCACATGAAATTGAGATTAAAACCCAAATTGCAAAAGAACATCTGATCTTTGCAAATAGAAACATTGCATACATATGCTGTTTTTCTTGACTGCCATGGCCTAGGTTGGCATGTGTATGGCCTTCTTCAGAGATCTGACAAAAAATATGATGAAGCGATCAAATGCTACCGGAATGCTTTAAAATGGGATAAAGACAATCTGCAGATCTTGAGAGATCTTTCACTTCTACAGATTCAGATGCGTGATCTTGAGGGTTATAGGGTAAGTTCTCATGACATCTATTCTTTCTCTAAATAAATATATTGTTCACAATTATAAGGCAACACAAGTCTGGTTAACACTTCATGGTTAACACTTTCATGTGGTATTGACTTGTTTGAGATGGAGGGAGTCATAAATGTTATACACTTAGATTTGTATATATTTGAACCATGGGCCATGTAGATTCATGAGAACTCTGAAGCCCCTGGGCGATCGTGGTAGAGCAAAGTTTCTGCCAGAAGTAATCCAGTACCACCAGGATTTAATGTTTATGAATCCATGTTTCAACTCCTATATTTGTACTCCCATAGTCTTAGTTGATTAAGTGTAAGGGACTGACTGAGATATTAACAGCTTTGGAGTCTGGAACGCTGACTTATGTGTAGTATAATGAATGTCTTCTAATAACTTGATGTAGAGCACAGTTACCCCACCGCCCAAAAGCCAAGGGTGTACAGTCAGCTGTGTAAAATGCTTTGTGACATTCTCCTGACATGAAAGGTGCTATATAAATGTAATTTGTTGTATTTAGCATTGTTACTACTTGTATCAGCATTCTTATAAGGCAACATCTATCTTGGATCTCAGAAGATGGTGTCCCTGAAGTCTTGCACATACATTACCAATTGACTATAGGGTCTTATATATGTCATTAGATCACTTTTGTGAGTCCATTTGAACAGATTTGTAGTCTGACTGCGGTTGCATTTTTGATGTTGCTAATTGAAGATGTATCAAATTATTAATATGTTTATGTGGATTCAAAGTGACTATATTAAACATTAATCTTGATTCAGCTTCAAAGATGATTGAATGCTACATCTTTTAAATTTATATCACTATTACATTTGAGAAAATCTAAATCAGAGTAATGTACTTTTGGTAATGTAAACCACATTTATCCAACTCTCACCATGCTCATATCTGTTCTAAGGAATCGGTCTGTGCTGATGGTCCTACTCGATGTATAAAATTTGCAGTATAGTCTGAAAACAAACCTCTTTACTCTTAGCCTAATATTTTTGACTTCGCGTTTACAAAATATATTGCTGTCAGTGAAACTATTGCAAAGAATCCTATGATAGCAAAATATGAACAATTTAAAAATTCAGCATTTTTTTCCACAATTTTCACAAAGGTCCCAAAGTTTTTAATTAAGTGTTAATATTAAATAGTCTAAAAATGAGAAGAAATACAATAATAATTTACATTTATATAGCGCCTTTCACATCGGGAGGATGTCCCAAATAATGACATGTTGCAGGAACGTTCACTAAATAAGTGCTCATTTGGAATCACTCTTACCTCTGGGTCAGAAGGATATGGGTTCAAGTCCCACGACCAAGGTCTCACCTGTATGTTCAGGTGGATGTTAACGCTCCCCTGACATTATTTGCAAAGAGAAGGGAGTTTAACCTCCAGTCAAGCAATCCTCCAGATAATACTACTGTTCATTCACTTCATGACTCTTTACAAATACACAGTCACTACACTTGACAGAAACTTTGAAGTGCTTTGAGACCTTGTCATTGTTAGGACTGGGTAGGTATAGGTTTGTTTTTCAACAAATATAATTAAGACACTTTAGGTCAGTGGCACGAGTGTGTGTTTACCACTCACTGAGGGCATCTCCATGAGATGTTTATCTACTCAGCCTTTTCAATTGAATGCGTTCTTTACTAAACTTTCTATTGGGTGAGTTTTAATTTTCAATAACATTTTCTGAATCAAACGTGCTGGTTTCTAAGTCCATTTGATTAGATTTTAGTGCAGAAGTATTGAAGAGGATATTTTGGGCATTTTCTAGGAGACCAGGTACCAGTTACTTCAGCTCCGACCTGCTCAGCGAGCCTCCTGGATTGGTTATGCCATTGCGTACCACCTACTAGAAGATTATGACATGGCTTCAAAAATCTTAGAAGAATTCAGGAAGACACAGCAGGTATGGTACAGCTGAATTTTCTGGTGTATTTTACTTGTGTGAACTTCAGAATCCAGAGCAAGTTTCGATATAATACTCTATTCCTTCAAAACAAGTATACTTAACTTATGTATGTTTTTTCACCGACAATATAATGATTTAGATTTATATATTAAACAAACTTACCATGAACTGTTTTTCATGTACTTAAATGAGTATAACTTGCACCTCATGATGGCTCTACTCTCTTTGTGTGTAGATGCGTATTAATTAAATACTAGCAACTTGCACATGGAACTTTACTAGCGCCAATGGCTTGTTTACAAAGTTACATTTGAAAATTAACGAATTATTTCACAATCCTTGCGAGTTTGAATTGAGTGTAGAATATTCAAAAACACCCAGTGGTTTCAATGTGTATGTTTGTGTGTATACACACATATGCAATGTCTTTGTTGTAGTAATTCCACTACTTCTACGATGTTGCTGTGTATGTCTTTGATTCATGTCATACTTAATTGGATACTCACACGTGTCGCTTGTGTAATATATTTCGATTGGTATGGCTCACACTGTTGTGCGTGAGTCACATGTGGCTCAGTACAAATCCGAGTACCATTATGCTGCTTTACGGTATCTCACAATAGATTATTGACTGAGGGAATGGGGAAAAGAGCACATAGATGCCCAAGGGTTCAATTTGATCCTTTTATCCTGGTAACATATTGGTTCAGTTGTCTAAATTCCCTTGTTATACTTGTTACTCTTCATATTTTATTGTTGATGATTAGCGTTTCAAAGTCTTTTCTCTTTGACCATTCTCTGCTTAAGTGGTTTCATTATAAGATTTTGTTGAATTGACCAATATCATTCAGGAAAATGTGTGCCCTCTGACCAGATTTAATGAGGTAGCACAGCGCATTGTACCTGCTACCTAGCTATCGATAGGGCGCATATTTTTGCCAGCAATTTCCCAAGCACTGTGATCTGCAACTCAGTAGGGTGATTCAAGACAAACTGTCATGATTGACAATCATGGGAATAGAAGACATAAGCAAAGGAGGACTGATGTTAAATCTCAGTGTCTAGGGAATATGACTTGATTTTGCAAGAGTTAAAGGCAGACTCACATGAATATGCCTCACATGTGAGATAGACTGCCTTATATTGCATGTTTTTCTTGCATCAATGCTATACTGTAGTTTTGTTGTTGTAGGGATAGGTCTGTTTAATCAAGTATTAACCGTATTTGTGATATAATTCTGATCTTTTTTAGGCTTCTCCTGATAAAATTGATTATGAATACAGTGAATTGCTGCTTTATCAGAACCAAGTGCTCCGGGAAGGAGGGATGTACAAAGAGGCCTTGGATCATCTTGACAATCATGATAAACAAATCTGTGACAAATTGGCTGTAGAAGAATGTCGAGGTAAAACAACATTAGCAAACATAATTTCTGCAAACTACTTTAATGGAGTTGAATATGTGCTTGTCAGAAACCGAAATGAAGTGAGAAGAATTCTACACAATCTCAGTGCGTGTGACTGACTCGCAAGACTTGTGGTCTGACACAATCTTCAGTCAGAACCAAATTCTCATGGGTTGGTGTCAAATATGTGGGGTTGTCTTAAGTCCCATTTTTTAAAAAATGTTTTAAACTATTTTGTACTTTTTTTCACCCATTGGCCTCTACTCCTGGTCTCCAAACTCCTCCTGGGGTGCAGTGCCACAGGTGCAGGCTGTCTTCTAGTACCCTGATAAATGACCTTTGTTGACGTGTGAACCTCGGCAGTGGGTGTTGTCCGCCCACTTAAATATAGATGACGTCACAGCCGAGCCTCACCTCTCCCCACCTTCCACCACGTATCCATACAACCAAGAGGGGATTGAAGAGGGACTAGGAGCAGGAATCCCAGCTGATCTTAACTTTCCAAATTAGAGAAAGTTTAGCCTCCCATTGCAGCCTTTGCTGAGACCAGAAAACTCAGGATGAATTTGCGTTTGAACCAGCAAGCTCCTGTAGCTGCATCCGTGATATCTCTGTCCACACAGCTACACCATCCAGGCTGCCCTTGCAGGAGTTCCACTTAATATCCCCAATGTGCTTTTCCTGACTTCATAATTTTCTGATTTGGGGTCTATTTCCAACCGTAATACAGTCTGGCCCCCATTGTCTTCCTTCCAAATGTGGTGGTGGGTGGGGGAAGGGGGAGTGGTAGAAAAGACAAATAAATAAACAAGTTAAGTATATAGGTCACACAAATTGAAATCCACATGGTCCAAAGTGTTTTCTAATTTGATAAAAGTTTAGATGATATTTGAAAATTTTGCTTTCACTTTTTCTGTGACTAGGATACTTTGTAGGAACTTCTAACCTGAAATTTGATCCCCAGGAGCATACATTTATCTGATGAATTCCTTCAATATTTACAAAATACTATTGTGTAATCTTAAAACAGGCGAGTTGCTGTTAAAATTGAACCGATTAGAAGAGGCTGCAGATGTATACAGACGTTTGCTGGAGAGGAACCCTGAAAACTGGGCTTATTATCGAGGATTGGAGAAGGCACTGAGGCCTGGTAAGTTTATTGCAATTTATAGTGAATTTAGATATTGAGCTTTGAGGATTCTTAACTAGAGGAATTAATTAATACAGTCCTACCTGTTTATCGCAGACCAGTTTATATCGACATCCCGACTGTGTCGACAAAAAAGTGAAGTCCCCTTTCCTTCTCCGCATATCAACACACTAAATTTACCATGTCTGACAACATCAGCAAAAACTTCGGCATGCTTCTATCGACAATTTTTTAAAGTCCCCAATAGTATTATCTGCATTCTGTTATTGCCACTTGCATCAATAAGCCCTTACACTTGCGTGTGATGCACAAGTCAGTGAGTGAGTAGGTGTGGCTCGTGAGTGCATGTTAGATTGGTCAGACCTATAAAAAGTCATGCTGGGAGTGCAGATCCTAGTCTACTGCTGTACCATAATGGATACCAACAACAAATTGCATTTATATACTGCCTTTCACGTCAAAGGAGGCACTGGACAGTCAAGGGTTTGTGCCCAAGTTGGGGATGGGAATCAAGAGGGATGGAGGTGGGAGGATGACCAAAGGCATGGTCAACGAGACGGGTGAAGATCTTCCATGACTGAAATGTACATAAACTTGACTTGAAAGCACAAAAGGATAAATATTGCTCGATCAAAGCAATTCATAGTGAAAAGTCCAGAAAAGAAGTCTGTGAAACCTTCGTTGTGAAGCACAACGCCCTTAATGGTTGGATGAAATCTGGGAAATGCATAAAGGCTGTGTCCGAAGTATGGACATAAACATCGCAAAATATGAAGACGTTGAGGATGCATTGAACACGTGTCCGAAGTATGGACATAAACATCGCAAAATATGAAGACGTTGAGGATGCATTGAACACGTGATCCATTAATGAAAATCTCGCTAAAAACCTCGCTTTCACAATTAATTGACACGTTCGTCGAGAAGGCCAAGGCTTTTGCTGATCAGCTACGCGTGGAAATTTGCATTGCCAGCAACGGGTGGTTTAGTCGCTTCATCAAGGCTCAACATGGTCTTGTGTACAAGAAAATTTGTGGTGAGGGTTAGTCTGCCGACATGTCTCGCTTCGAGGAGTGGAAGACCTGTCTCCAGGAAATTCTGTGAGGCAATAATTTGGATTTATAGTGTAGATGAGACCAGCTTGGCTTTTAAGTGCATCCTGGACACAGCATGCTGCATTAAGGAACATCAGTGTCCTGGGGGTAAACAACCTGAAGACCGGGTATCAATTATGATTACTGCCGACATGACTGGCATGGATGAGCTTCAGCTTCTCAGATTGGAAAGTCAAAAATCTTGTGATGCTTCAAAAACGTAAAACATCTTACCAGTCAATGGCCAAGGCCAACGACAAAGCCTGCATGACATCTGTTATTTTTACTAAATAAGTCCAAAAACTTGAACCAAAGATGGCAATTGGTCAGAAAATAGCATTATTAGTAGATTACTGCTCTGCCCATGTATGCATGTATGCGTGATTCATTCTTTTGTTGACATTCTGCTTATGTCCACAAAATTCAAACAGTTCCCGAGATATTGACGTAAATGGGTAGTACTGTATCATTATTGTTAAGTTCAAAGAGCAGCCCACAGTGCAGTATATTAGTGAACAGAGGTTTGGATGGGAAAGAAAAGAGATGAGGGGATTCATCTTAATATAGCAGCTACATTGCAAAGTATATTAAGCACATTGAGTTAAGGAATCTGTTTTTGTGAATTGAAAAACCCATGTTTATCATCATTTATCTTCAGTCACTGTTGAAAACAGACTTGGTATCTATGAAAGTGCTTGGACCCAGTATCCTAAAGGATTGGTACCAAGAAGACTGCCTCTCAACTTTTTATTTGGTAAGCAAAAAAGCTTTTCTTATCCTTTGACTTGATGGTTTCTATTCAATGAGGGTGTGTACGACATTTTGTTTTAGGAAAATTTTAACTATTAGACACGTTCTTAATTTTAGTTTTCTTTGGAAAAGTGCTACAGGCTGAGGAGGGGAATCACTGCCATCCTTCAGATAAGATGTTAAACCAAGGTCCCATCTACCTGTTCAGGTGGACATTAAAGAGCACATGGCATAGAAAGAGAAGATAGTTTCCACCATTGTCCTGGCCAACAATCTCCCAGATAAAATTGGCTGACAGATTTGTCTGGAGAATACAGTCAATACACTTTACAATAAATCCTGTGATACATTTTGAGATAGGAACATAGGAATTAGGAGCAGGAGTAGACTATTCGGCCCCTCGAGCCTGCCCCGCCATTCAATAAGATCATGGCTGATCTTCTAACCTAACTCCATCTGCCCGCCTTATCCACATATCCCTTAATCCCTTTATCCTTTAGAAATCTATCAATCTCAGTCTTGAATATGTTCAAGGACTGAGCATCCAAAGCCTTCTGGGGTAGAGAATTCCATAAATTCACTATCTTCTGAGTGAAAAAATGTTTCCTCAACTCTGTTCGAAAGGGCTGCCCCTTAATCTTAAGACTGACTCCCAGTTATAGATTCTCCTACCGGGGAAACAGTCTCACATTGTCTACTCTGTCAAGCCTCATAAGAATCTTATATGTTTCTTTCTGACATCAATGGTGCTATATCAAATGCAAAGATTATTAGTTGGGAATACAATTCTATATATTATAAATATAAAAAACTAGGTTGATGCAGGACCAAGGCATTCCTCGTCAACTGTAAAAAACCATCTTGGGCTGAGGGGATATGAAGCAGGCAGGTGTTTGCTGAGTTCAGGGAGCATCCTGGGAAGTACAGTCACATAAGTTGTATGGAGCACTATAAATTATTTTTTACCTTGGGGGTATCATTACCCTGATAACAATTTGATACGTTACCAAGTCATTAAACACTGGCCTGTGTTTATAAAGATATTTCATAAATTTAAATTGTCTATTTAGAAATTTGGCCTAATTTGTATTTGTAAATTAATACAGATAGTGAAATGTAATTGGTGACATGTTTTCATTAGCCATTGATTTAATCTCTAATTCAGTGCTTTTATAATGGTCTGTACCCATGTGGCCTTTATCTCTATCCAGTTCGACTTTAATCTTTAATACAGTTTGTAAACATTAGATCCTATGCAGATGCTTCAAATATTGTTCTAAGACTGGTTACAATTGTTCAAGATTATGCATATGTAATTGACTTTTCCTGTTTTTTTTAGGTGAAAAATTCAGAGAGGTTTTGGACAAGTATTTAAGGATAAATTTCAGCAAAGGCTGTCCTCCTGTATTTACTACCCTGAAGTCATTGTACAATGTTAAAGAGAAGGTACTGTACCATTTGTTCATGGATTAGCAAGGCCAGAACTTTAGTAGTCTTTTCTGTTCTAAAAGGGAATTGTTGTAATTTAATTTTACTTTCTTTAAAGGTATCAATTTTAGAAGAATTAGTAGTTGGGTATGAAACCTCATTGAAAAGTTGCAACCTGTTTAATCCAAATGGTAAGTTTTTTTGTGCTTAATTTATCTTCCTCTTCCCCTCAATTGTCCGATAAATGTGCTGGTGTTTAATCTGCTGTATATTCAGCTCCGTATCAAAAGATAGCCAAAATTGAGTCACTTTGAAAGGTCTGGTTATTTGTTTTTATGTTCAATTGCTTTTCCAATTTTCTCCCCATTGGCATGTGGTCACTATTCCTCCTGTTGGGGTATATTTTCACAGATATGGTGGGTCTCCTGTGCGCTGTGATCAAATGGCCATTGTTCACGTGGCCTGATATTCACGAGCACTACCCTGGATGAACAATCTCTTCTGGTTTTACCCTTCCAATTCCTGGGACAGCTAGGGCAAGTTTAGCTGCCACACCCAGTCACGGCTGAGACCAATAAATCAGTGAGCTCCCGTCCCCTTTAAGTGAATAGAACTGTTGCAGGGACTGCCCCAAGTGGGGTGAACAGTACAACCATTTTCAACAACCTCTCAGGGGACTTGAGTTTATAAGAGTGGTTTCTGAGTAAGGATTCATTGGTGTATGAAATGGAAGTGGTTGCTTGCGCATGTTTAACTGTGCTTGGAAGAGCCTCTTTGGCAAGTTATTTGCTTTATTTGTTTTAAAGGGCATCAGAATCATTCATGCATATGATCATGAATAAGCATTTTGTACTTGAGCAACGATTTGCACTGCAGCATACAGAATTAAATAATATTTTCATTAAACCTTGAGCAGTTTTTCTTTCTCTAGATTCTAGATATTAGTTGTCCTGGAAGAAATAATTGAATGTATTCACTTACATATAACTGTTGCAGCTTGTTAAGACACACCACATGTTCCCAAGCCAAATGTACTGCAATGTAAAGCTTCCTTAGTTTATTAGTACTGTAGTTATTTGCATTAAGGCTACATTTACCACATTGCAACTAACTTCTAAGAAAGCATCCTTAAGAACTTGTTAAATGAGTTAACCAAATTAAAGGAACTTTTATTTCAAAAAATAAAATTTAAACATTTTCTCTTCCATTTATAGATGATGGGAACCTAGAACCACCTACGACTAGATTGTGGGTCCAGTACTTTTTAGCCCAGCATTATGATCGAATTGGACAACACTGTCTTGCTTTGGAATACATCAATGCTGCGATTGAAAGCACCCCGACTCTCATTGAATTGTTCCTTGTCAAGGCCAAAATCTTCAAGGTAAAAAGTAGACTTTGAGTAATCCATGTTACAAGGTTTTTAAGCTTTTAATATCTTGCCACAAAAGCAATTGACACCAACCTGCAAATGCATTTTTTTTTCAATGGGAATTTGTTGTAAGAAATTTCCAAAATTGGAAGGTTATTTAGCACTTTGACTTTACGTAATCTTGTAGCTTTCTGGTTGTGGTTTTAATACTTTATGTAGTACATTATATTCAAGTCTGATAATGTAAGTAAAAATATCTAAACTGGCAGCCAAAAAAAATTTGTTCTTTTCTGTCTGCATTAATTATGTTTGGTATTTATCTTGCAGCATGCTGGGAACATAAAAGAAGCTGCCAAGTGGATGGATGAAGCTCAGGCATTGGATACGGCCGATAGGTTTATAAACTCCAAATGTGCTAAATACATGCTAAAAGCCAACCTGGTGAAAGAAGCTGAGGAAATGTGCTCCAAGTTTACAAGAGTTGGTATCCTCATTCCGCAGTTGTAATCAAGACTATAAGATAGCATTGCAAGTTTACCAATACCGTTGTAACTTGGTGTTTTGGAGTTCACAAAAAAAAGTAGGGGTGGGGTGGAAATCATACTTGTGACATCAGTCCTCAACTTATGTTACTTTATGCATACATTCCAGCAAGGAAACTGGATAGTAGTCAGGAGTGGCAAGTCCATCTGATTTATTTTTTGCTTTCCTTCTCCCCAACGTATGTGAATTGTGGAATTAAGTCTATCCATACTTTAAAATAGAATACTTGTAGATTAATCTATGACGATGCAATGTTCACTGCTGTTTTCAAAACACGCCTTGACGCTGTGCCAGAAGTTGCTAAGCACAATTTTTTTTGGTTTGGTTAAAAACAAACCATATGGTGGATAATGGATTGGATGTCATTTGGATGCTTTGGTTAAAAAAAAATGAAATTGCAATGCAAATGTGTTCTTAACATATGTGAATGTAATCTGTTTTATTAGGAAGGAACGGCTGCTGTGGACAATCTGAATGAGATGCAGTGTATGTGGTTCCAGACAGAGTGTGCTCTAGCTTATCAGTCGGTGAACAAATATGGAGACTCTTTGAAGAAGTGCCATGAAATCGAGAGAGTAAGTTACAGAAAACATATTTTTGATGAAGTTGTGTGAATAATGCAATCCTTGTCCTGATCAACAGCCTAGATAATTGGTCATTCATTTCATAGTTGTTTATGGCTCCTGGTTTGTGTATATTGGTTGCTGTGTTTGCTTACAAATACACTACACTTGACAGCTATTGTCTTTGAAGCAACTTTAGAAACTCTGTAGCAAATGCGAGGATCATTCTTGTAATTGCATAATGGGAGTTACAGATAAGATGATTATCTAAATTACATCTAATCCAACATACTGAGAAACTGCAGAAGTCATTCTGTCCTTCTCAGCATGTGGGTGAATATAACCTTGAAAATTGCATTTATCTGTTAAAATAGGAGCTCTTGTAGCTGTACTCCGAATCAGGACATTCATTTTCTTCCACTACATAACATAATTTGTTACTGAACAGTTTACTCCATGTTACTTTACTTACTACTTGTTCATAAGATTAATTAAAAAACACCACTAGTCAACCACTCGCAGTCACAGTTTTTCTTCAGTATTTGCATCATTTCTTTATTTATATCCAGTTATCTGGGTTTTGCCTTTTTTTTATTTTCCCTATCTGTTTTAAGCAACATATTGTCGTCGTTCTTGACCTCTGCCTTTTCTTGTTTCATGATGACTTAATGTCATGGCACACAATTTTGTACAAAAGGAATCCATTTCAATATTTATTTTGAACATTTTCAGCTTTTTAAGAATAGCTTATTTGTCGGATTCCATGGCTGTACTGCAGGTCTGAATTCCTCTCTGCTACAATCCTTATCACAGCTGAGAGAAAGTGAAGTTCTCCCTAAGTGAAAGAGAGAGAGAAATTAGGAAAACCTGTGAATGGCTGCTTTTGTGGTGATCAGGGTAGTTAATTCAAAAGTCTCCTCATTAAGTATCATTTGAGGCCTGGGAGCAGAATTCCTGTTGGCATTTTGAGCTTCATGGATTTGAAATGGTCCAGAGTGATGAGAAGGGTGAATTAAAGGGCAATGCAAGCAGCACAAAGAGAATACTAATTTTATTTGCCTTTGCTCAAACTGAAGAATAAGAAAGGCAGGTAGATGGGTGACCTGTTCCCAAGGCAACCACTGCTGTAGTTTAAATATCTGTTAGATGATGTGCACATTACTCTCGATCCCTCCTAATGGAAGTCTTTAGTAATTGTTACAATCTCTATTTCTCAGCAGAAGAATGGTCTATGTCCATTTAGCATTATGAAAGTAATGCCTGGTTACAAAATTTGTACTGTACCATGTTATACAAATCTGCAGATGGGTAACGATTACACACTGTAAAGTATATGAAAACAAAACTAGACTAATTGAACCATTATCCCCCAGTGCTATGACAGGCAAGTGTGCGTGAGGAACATTAACCAAAGGCAATCGGTGCTGTGCACACACAAATGATGCAACATGATGTCCCTGTACATTACATTCTAAGTAATGCTCTGATTTTAAGAGGAAATCAGTTTCTGGCTGGCATAAGTTATACCAATGAATGCACGCATGGTCACCTTCCTCTCCCCCTGCGCCCCCTTGAATAGATGTGTACAGAGCTGCTCTAATTCACTTCCTGTATAGTTTGAGATGCTTGCCATGGTGCATTTTGGAAGATTACATGTTCATTTTTATTTTTTTTTCAAACACAGCACTTTGCAGAAATTACAGATGACCAGTTTGATTTCCACACATACTGCATGAGGAAAATGACACTGAGGTCTTATGTGGACTTGCTTAAATTGGAAGATGTGCTACGGTGTCATCCCTTTTATTTTAAAGCTGCAAAGGTGGCTATTGAAATCTACCTGAAACTTCATGATCATCCACTAACGGATGAGAACAAGGAATTGGAGGCAGATACAGGTATAATACATTTAAAAATATTTTCTGCAACATTCTCTTCTTTTCCCCCATGCCTGTAAGTTGGTAAAGCTGGGAATCAAATCTCAATTATAAATGTGCTTCTTCTCATTCCTCTGTTTAATTTTTTTTTAAATTCTACCAAATCTGTTGAACGTCTGTTTTTTGCCTCCAGCGAATCTTTCAGACAAGGAGCTAAAGAAGTTGCGGAACAAGCAACGTCGGGCACAGAAGAAGGCTCAGCTAGAAGAGGAGAAACGCAACGCAGAAAAGGAGAAGCAGCTGAAAAACCAGCGAAAGAAGAAGGAAGAGGACGAGGAAGAGATTGGAGCACAAAAGGAGGAGCTTATTCCTGAAAAACTAGCAAAGGTATACTGAGCCCAGAAATTGCTTCCACGCTCACTGTCTGAGGTATTCTGTATGTGAACTAGACATCAGTACCTACATTTGCTCTCAGCTACTGACAAGCTGTGTGCAATTGTTAGTCACGTGGATCCAATTGTGCTTCTTGAACTTTAATCTGTTTGACATATGGAAGTTGTGGAGTTATTTAGAGGCACTGTCATGCATAATTGAGAGAGCATGGTTACGATGATATTCTGTTATACCTCTTGTGGTGTGGCTCTAGTTGATGTTTTTTAAAAAAGGAAATCAGGCCCTCAAATGACAAATCCCATTAGCATCCCACTCCTCTCGCAGCTGTATTAGGTAGCAATTTCTCTTGCACAGTTCCACAGCCCCAGTGTCTGGTGCCCTCCAAGTCCTGACAGATAGTCAACAAGACAGTCTTGGCATACTGTGCACTTGCCTTCTGGCAAGGCTATTGCAGAAGATTTACTTGATTCTGGTATTCCTTTCCATTGCCTCAGCTCCCAAAAGATCTCACCTATTCCTAAAGAGGATTTTGGGGGGTAAAGGAGCAAGAAAACCTTTCTAATATTTAGAGTACTTAGATTATCTCCCAACACTTGTTTAATTCCCAGGATTGTGAGCAGCATTGTTTGTTTTCCTTTAAAAGAAAATCATATTGGTTCAGTTTATTAGGTGCTTATTGTAAAAACGTTGTATGAGATAGCAGTCAGACATTTGAATTTGACCAAATGCTGCTCAAAATAAAACTGAATTTACCTTCATATCTGAGAGCATCTGAGTTTTAAAGTGTCTTAAATATTAAGTGCATTGTGATCCCCCTCCTCAAATCTGTTTAGAATTCAGCATTTTGAGTGTTGATATAAAATCTGGTGCATAGATCTCCCATCGATGCAGACTTCAGCAGAGCACTTGCATTTAAGGTGGTGATGTACAATGCAGGTGCTCTGCATTTTTTGTACCAGTTTCAATAACAACAACAAAAATTACATTTGTATAGCGCCTTTCACGTCGGGAGGATGTTCGAAGGCACTGGGAGGTTTCACTGTAAGCATTGGATATGTAGTCTTCACACCATGGTGAGAATGAACTGCATTCATTTCAGTATTTATAATAAATACTGAATCACAAATTCAGTATTCTGCAACTTAATCAAAAGCTGTCAAGTTCGCATAGCATTTTTACCTATTATTTTCTTCTAAATAGGTGGAAGGTCCACTTGAAGAAGCTATTAAATTTTTGACACCATTGAAAACTTTGGTAAAGAACAAAATCGAAACCCACCTTTTTGCTTTTGAGATTTATTATCGAAAAGGTAAGCCACAAGAACTTTGTTTATACAAGAGTATCACTCGCCCAGTATCTGTTACAGTGACAAGTGTTACTGTAAATAGACCGAAGCTTGAGGACATTTTTAAGGTTGTCTAGATTTATGTACAGTCGTAACTATAGACAAAACCAACAGTTACAGTTCAATGATTGTAGAGCACCAGCCTTGGAGAAACACATGTTAAGTGTTACCTTTTTTAAAATATTCAGTAATTACTCAGGGCATGAATGAAATGAGGCTCACATACATAATGATTTAAAACAAAGTTCTAACAGACCTCTTCATTGCCCCTCATTAACGCCTTTTAAAGTTTTTATTGTCAGTTTAATTATCTTATAAATTGTTGTAGTTTTCCTCCTTGTAGTCGGTGATCAAAGCTAACATTGCAGTACTCAGTGCAATAGCATATTATAGTGGGGAGATCACGGTGAAGGCATCTTGCTGGAGAGAGGAAAAATTGGGAGTCTTGGTCAATTTGTTGATTTGCCTCACACCAATAGATTGAGTTTACACTCTTCGCAGAAGGTAATGGGTGGTACTTATAGAAAAGGAATGTGATCTTTCTTATGGTTAAAAAGTTGACACTGTGCCCTTGGATGTAGAAATTTCATTACTTACTGATCTATGACTGCAGACATTTTTCTGTATTTATAGAGAAGTCCCTTTTGATGCTGCAGTCGGTCAAACGAGCTTTTGCCATTGATCCTGACAACGCATGGCTCCATGAGTGCCTGGTTCGGTTCTTCAAAACTGGTATGGTAAATAAACTAGTTTGTGGTAACTAAACAATGTACATGGTTTTCTAAACCTGCTGGGTAGCACCCCTCAACAAGCAATGGCTTTCCCTTTTTGAATCTTTCCTAAATGCACCTGTTTGGCATTGTCAAATTTAAAAACTTATTTTTATTGCCCTCCAACCCTCTATGATCCCAACCCGCAGCTCGGGTGCAAAACCCTCATTGTCGAACAACTTGGGATGTCCTCTCCACATGAAAGGCACTATATAAATGCAATTTGTTGTTTTCCATGGAGAAAGCCCATTTAAAGATGAATGTGTCCAGAACAGCTGCTAGGTACAGTGAGTTCCCTTATAGCTCTTGCAGCTAGTACACATTTACACTTGATAAATGTATTTATGTAATGTTTTGAAAAGTGTGCTTCCAGCTCATTGTTGCTTCTTCACACTTGGCATTGAGTTATATGGCAATGAGTTTTCAAGATTTCAGTGGACAGCTGTGGACCCCACGTGGGAAGTTTCTGATTTAAGCTGTTATGCGGAAGTCCAGATTGCTTACCAAAGAGAAATTCAAGAATTTGATGCTTCCAGCTGTAATGGTACACCACTAGGGATTATCTGCTTGCTCTCTTGGCTTTAATAATGGCCATTCACCTGAAATATATTCCCTCTTGAGGATGGAGGTAGAAAAATCCTGTTTGAAAAATGTGGACACTATTTCATTAAATAATTTTCAAAGTCTGCCACAGGACAGTGCTGGCTTGGAACTATTTCAAAGAATCTTACAGCACTGGATGAGGTCATTCGGCCCAATGTGCTTGTGCCAGCTCTTTGAAAGAGCAATTCAATTAGTCCCACTCCTCGCTCTTGCCCAATAGCCCTGCACATTTGAGGGATTTTGTTTTGAATCAGGTGAAAAAATGCAAAACCTTGCAGTGAAAGTGTAGTAATATTAATCATGTTTAATCATGGTGGAGAATTTGAAATCATATTTGGATGGTGTCAGTATAACTTCAGGCATTCCATTTATAATTTCTTTTGATGATAGAGATATGTTAAATTGATTTTAAAAATTACTTGCCTTTGGGATAATATAACATGTAAAATCCTATAAATGAGCATGTTATCAACTTAAAACAGCAGTTCATGTAAAAATATCAGATATGGTTATAGTGTGTGTGTGTATATATATATATACATAAATAAAATGTGCGTGGCATATCCTGGTTGTGAAAAGTTTCATGCGAAGGGCTAGTGCTTTCTCTAGTGTTGAAATGTCATCTGCTTGCTCTTTCTTACAGTGTCTGAGAGCAAAAATCTACCAGATCCTGTTCATACAGTCCTGACCCAGCAAATGAGCAGGTTGTTTGGAGAGACAAACCCAAAGAGTTTTAATGAGGCTTTCATAAACAAACACTTGAACTCAATCCCACACAGGTTAGCTGGTAAGTGAAAATAACTTGAATAATTACACTATATGTTTGTGTGGATAACAGCCTGGAGTATGGTTATTGCTTTCAACACACTCAGTTGGAGAGGAAAATTCTCTTTCAAATGCTTATTTTTTTCACAATAGAATAGGATACCAGTTCATGGGAGATGTAAAGTGAAAACAAATTCAGGATCCATTATAGCTGTCACCCATGTTTAACAGTGGGTGATCAACAAACTATTAATTTAAAAAATGGCACTAGTACTGGAATTGTGAACTGTGGTGTCATTTTATGCTGCCTTTATAATCAGACTTTGTCCTTGTACAAAATTGTCATAAAACATATTTTAGCAATTATGGAACCTATATTTCAATTTCACATGTCTTTGTTCCGGTCTTCATTTTTGTCTCACATGTTTTTCCTTTAATACTTGCATTGTATGTAGAAGTAGCTATGAACTAATTTCCTGTTTGCAGTAGCTTCTAAAACTGCAATCAGTACTGTAATCCAGATATTTCACATTGGCTGCTACAACATGGATTATAAATTTTGCTTTGTTTGACTGAGATGGAAATGGAACAGGTGTTGATTAGAGATGGAAGAGGTGCTTGTCTCAGTTGGTAGCTTCTGAGTTAAAGGCGAGAGTGATAACAGTATTGTGGCTTTAACTCAGTCTCTGCTCCAATACAGCGCTGTAGGCATACTGCATTGTCAGAGGTGCCATCTTTTTGGATGAGATGTTAAACCAAGTTCCCATGAACATTAATGATCCCATGGCACTATTGGAAAAGGGAACGGATTTTTCCCTGATGTCCTGGCCAGCAATGCGCCAGATTAAATTGGTTGTTCATTCATTTACTTCATGTCTGTTAGTGGGACGTTGATGTCCACAAGTTGCCATATTCACCTACAAATTGTCAATAGCTTTGAAGTATTTTGGTGATGCGGTAAGGGGTTAAATGCAAGAATTATTTTTATTATAAAACAATCAGTTTCTTTAAAAAAAACCTCAATAATCGAGTAGCTAGTTTCCGACTTAATCTTTAAAGAAATGTGACAAGTGGCATGATTAAACTGTAAAGTGAATTCGGCCATGGAAAGGTATATGATTCAGTGAGTAAATGCATTGAATGGTGCAGTACTGAACCTTGAAAACCAGGAAGATACCATCCTACTCAGTTGTTCTGTGGTCTGTACAGTTGGCTTTGCTGTTTCAGGGGTGGGAAGAAGTTCATTAAGTCTAGATTATTAGTTTTGATTGGGTCCATTGACCCATAATGTAAGGGCATGTGTGTATATATGCAGTATCAGAGCGGATGGATAAGAGGAGTATACTGCATAAGAAAATAGTGAACCTTGAATTGCTCAATTTGTTTTGTTTAGGCTGCATATACATTATTTATGGTCATTTGATTTTCCTCCGTTATATTATCATGCTTAGAATAGAGTTGCTTCCTGTGCCTCCTATTGACAAAGTGATTCCAATACACAGAATTTATCAGGTACTTGCTTTGATTGAACTCTGGAGACTCTAACCCTAAGAGGTAGATTGAATGATGGTTCTGCTGCAGATTTAATTTACAGGTTTTAATATTTTGTTTGAAGGAGGGATTTGATTGTTTTAGCCTAAAATATTGATTTTTGTCCAAACTACTTGAATCTTGTGGATCCAGCAATGCATTATGACATGGGAGAAATATACAATGATATGCACAAGAACTTACTGAAAAGTCCTTCTGGGTCTTAAAAATTCAAATCACTTACAGACTTGAATGTGTAATAAATGCCTTTACTTTGTTTTGGGGTTATTGACTCATTATGGAAGAACGAATGACGTATCTTGAGTTCCAAATTACATTTCCACAACTTGTTGCAAAACCTTTTTCTATTGTTGTTACAGCTGCCAAAATGATGTACTACTTGGATCCTTCTAGCCAAAAGAGAGCTGTGGAGTTAGCTACAGGACTTGATGAATTCCTAGCCAACAGGAGCATCCAGGTGAGTTTGAATCTTTGCAAGATAACAAATAAAGTCGTTTTGCTTATAACTTCAGCATTTGACAGCTCCTTGGTGCCCGTTGGTGTGTTTATAATGCTTGAAATCGAATCCCCTTGCAAGTTGACTCTTTGGGAAGAAGTCATCATAAATCAGACTAGGTTGGGTGTCTTGTTATGATCATCTGAGAATATGATACATCAGCCATCTCTGATGTTAGCCACTGGTTCCCTTGCAGGATGGGCAAACTAGTCAGCTTTGAATGTAAGTGATATGCAATCCTCCATACAGTTCATCTTGTGTAATCTGGATTGAGCTGCTACTTGCCATGAGGTTGTGCTTGAATCGTTTTTTTGAGAGGACAGCAATGCCCTTTTGATCTAACAGCATTGCTCTTAACAAAAGGGTGGTAAGCCTTTTTGGTACTACTGTATTCCAAGCAAGCCTAAAGCTGTAGATCCTTTGAAGTCTATAGTGATTTTTCACCCTTCTTGATTCCAGCCCACAGCTCAGGTACCTGTCAACTCCTTGGGACGACATCCTGACCTGAAAGATGCTATATAAATGCAATTTGTTATCATTGTTGTGATCTCTTGGATCTTTAAAGTCCACCTAAGCAAATGGCACCTCAGTATGTCCCAGGCAAAAGATAGATCTGAAATGCAGCAGTCCCTCAGTACTGCATTGGAGTATTGTCCAGACTGAGGTCAGTCGTGTCATGGGACATGGAACCCACAACTGTATTTTCTGTTTCCCTGCTACTCACTTTGAATTAGGATTCTGAGGTCTAATCTAGTAATGCTGCCCCACTGAAATTTAGCAGAGTCCAGACTAGGACCATGCGGAGAGTTTGAGGGAAGAGCACAATGCATTATGGTGCACTGATATCAAATGGAATCACACTTCCTTATTTTGACACCTGATCTGTTTTTTTTGTTACTTTGATCGTCAGATTTGTGTGAAGGCACTGGAGGCTCTGTGGGATGGTCACCTGGGAGACAGTAAAGAAACGGCTGAAATATACCGAGCACAATGTCATAAGATATTCCCATACGCTCTAGCATTCATGCCTCCTGGATACGAAGATGACATAAAGATCACAGTGAATGGGGACAGTGCTACCGAGCCCGAAGAACTGGCTAATGAGATCTGAACGAAGACGGTGACTGAAATGGACCCATTTTTGTTGCACGCCTATGATGTCAGCTCCCCACTCTGTGGACGGGAATTGTAAATATGTGTCAGGGTTTCATAAATGCTTACAGATCATAGACTTTCAAAATTGGAGGTCTTTTTTTTAATCCTGCTGACTTCAAAAAAATGAAATTTTAGAAGCGACTCCTGTACTACTGTCTGTTAACTCCCTGTGAGTGGGAAGATGACATCACTTGAATGCACTCAACACCCTTGCAATTTGGCTTCCCATGTTTTTAATGTAATCTCTAAAAGAATGTTAGACTGTTAGAAAGGTGGGTGTGATGCAAAAATATGTCCAGTCATTACTTGTCTTGAGATTCTCGTGTTCCTCAAGGTCAGCAGCTATGCTGTCCTAGCACTGGATCCTCTAAGCACAAACCTTTATGTCAGGGCTGCAGTGTCTGACAGAAAACAAATGGAAACTACACGCAGACCACAGGAAATGCCTGATGTAAATTGTGATGTACAGATTAAATGTACCCAGTTTTTTAAAAAAAAACTAGTTAAAAGCAGGATGGGTGTTTGGAATTTGAGGGAGCGCGGGGGAAGGAGAAGAAAGGAAAGGTAAATTAGGGCGCGTACTGACCACCATTTCTAAATTCTTCGGAGGGTTTCTAACAATCCAAAAGAAACTTAGTACATCTGTAGATCACCAGCTGTATTATGAAACAGTTCTGAGTCTCTTTTCACAGTGCTGCTTATTGACGACCTAAATTGGCAAATTTAGGCCATCACCAACCAGTTATTACTTTTTTTTAAAAAAAACTTTGAAAAATTGAGTGTATGAAGTAGGAAGCATTTGCTAAATTAACTGTTTCATGTTCTAATTTACAGGACTGGTCCCTAGACTCGGTACTGTTTTGTTAATGCAGATGCAGATTGTCATCAGCAGTAACTGTACCAGGCGGATTATGTAGAAAATTATACATTGATCATTTGGATACCGGTTTTCCCTTGGTGTAATGTGTCAATTATAGTACTTGAAGCCCTACATTTCTAAGGATACTTTTTGCTCTGCAGTTTTACGCATGCCCCAGACTTTGTATGTTTTTAAAAGGGGCACAGAATTTTTGAGAAAAAAAACAAATTTGCTTCTTTATTTCTGCAGCTACAATTAATTCCCATGGTTGTCTGAAATGCAAAAGGTACCAAATATACAATGCAATAAACATTTTTTTTTTGAAAATTGTTCTAGCTGGGATATTTCTTAATATGGTTTTACTTTGCATATTGTCTTCATTGTTTAATTTGACATGCCCCAGAATTTCAGTTAATTCTAAAACTCTTAATTCTTGCAGAGAGAGCCTGCTTTCAATCTCTTTCCCCTTCTCCATATGAATATAGTTGTGCAAAATCTGTTCATCTTCAGACTGTTCTTCAAATCCTGCCTATTAACGATAAACTGAACTGTACATTTCTCTATCCAGGTATTTAAAGAATGTGGTGGTTTTCTTTCAAATTGGCTTATATTGCAATTTGTCGTAGGATTTTACAATTAAAAGGCGCGGGCACTGCTGCTTTAGTATAAAAGGGCAGAAGAACTTGAGTTTACAAGAATAACATGGTAGTTTTATTAGCATGTATGCAGGTTAATGCCATCCAATTGTTTCTTTTTAGAAACTTGCTTTTCAAAGATGTTAAATCTTTCAATTAAAACTGCTACAGTCCTCCTTTTGCCTTTGACTTGATTAACTACACGAACGGAAAGGAAGGCTGCGGAACGCCCTTGGTTAATGTTGCAGGGGTTTTGTGTGCTTTCTGTGTGATGTGATCATCTCAAAATACAGACTGCAGGCCTGTAGGCAATGGGAAGTCACAGATTCCAAGGTTGGCAAAAATCAGTAGTGGCCAACATCTTTGGTTGACTAACAAAATAATCATAGAAATAACAAAATAACATAGATGTATGCCATAATCAAGACATATTAAATCAAGAATAATTCTTGATTCATCTCATCAATCTGCTATTTTGTTATTTCTATGATTATTTTGTTGGCCAACAAAAATGGTTGGCCACCACTGGCATAAATGATGCAATTCCTCATTAGTTCACAAAATAGGGGTTTCAGTGGGTCCATATCAGTTTGAACATGACCTCCACCAGCATTTGGTCTTGATCATTTCAGCACTGAGCCGTGTATGCGTGGAGGGTATTTTTTCATGTCTTCAACATATGGGATAGCACACGGGATACTTGTGCAAAGTGTGGAAATGTGAATCTTTTGCACTTGTGTTATGTGGTTAGTTCCATTTTAGCCTCACTGGTTGTATTCAGCATCCAATAAACTGGTAGCATTTGTGTCGTTTTGTCAAATATATTCCCACAATCCACTCTCCATGTACTTGATTAATTGTTTTCTTACAAACTGGCTACTTTTTTTTCCACATTTTATTTTGCAAATTAAGTGGAGATTATAATAATAATGGTTACGGTTTGATTGTTGAAAAACTTTGGTAACTCAAACCATTTAAAGTGCTTCATAACTCGCATTCAAACACTTCCTATTCTCATCTACATTAAATTTGTTTTACCAAATGTGCATTACAATTTAATCTTGCAATACAGTTCTCTATTCTGAAAATCATACTTGATGGAGGAAAGAAAAATCATTCACATAATGCTATGGGGACATACATTTTAGTACGATGGCTGATGTATCCATATTCTAGTTCCAAGGAACATTCAGTGATTGGCACTTAGAAAGCTATGTTCCAAATTTAGATACGTGGTAAGGAATTCTGGAAATTCTCGCTTTTGCACAATTTCAAGGAACATTTGAGAAGCAACGGCCAGTCGGTGTTTGCTCCTGAGGAGAGAAGGGGAACAGAGAAGACATTAGATATGCATTGTGCAACTTTTGAAGTGCATTTTGTTTACAAAATAATCCCTCAAATCCAATGATTATAATTTTTTATATATATTAGGCCAATGCAAAGGCATTGTGGCTTCTATTGTTGCACTGCAGATTGCTTTAAGCCTGTAGGGACACTAATAATGTAAGATTAACTTTAAAATGTACAGAAGTGTAATCTGTTCCCACCATCATTGTATCATAGATTAACCCCTTATGAAATTTACACTTCAGGTATTGTCCCGCAGCCAGCCTCTGCCCATATTTACATATTTTGTGACATTCAGACCTGGTGCGCCTGCAGTCCTCATGAAGAGATTTTTCTTCACACAGTAAGGATATGGAATGCCCTGCCAGGAGCTGTGGTCGAGTCAGACTCCATAAATTGCTTTTCAAAAGGAAACCACTACAGAGGTATGGGAAAGGGCTGGTAAAATGGGACTGAAAGGAATGCTTTTACAGGAGCATGTGGGCTGAATGGCCATTTTCTGGCCTGTAAATTTCTATGGTTCTAAGACTGATCTCTGAATTTAGTGTTTTCTTGGAACTAAGATGCAACAAATTGTACTGTGAATGTGGTTAATTCAGGATTCCCCACAATCTAATAAATGCCAGTTAACTGCAGCAAAGTAACAAAGTTGCAGGTGATTTACACCAACCTAACCAGAAGCTTGTGCTTCTAAATTGAATTTAATATTCCTGTCTAACTGACCTCTTCCTGAAATGTTTTTCCCCCCCGTGACACTTCTTACTTGAGAGGTCAGGAACCATGGGCAGGTGACGTGCCTATCTTGTGTTCACCAGCAGAAATAATGAAATTATTGGCAAAACAGGATGTAGGGCTAATTGCTTTTCAGGGGCAACAGATTCAGCAACCATGTAAATTAGTGCCAATAGTTACCAACCCCTTTTTCAGAACTGACTGGCTATAATAGGCAATCTGCTGCATAGTATTTTTAGTTTTCATCCAGAATGGACCTTGCTTCTTTTCCCTTTCGATTCTCCTTTCTTTAGACAACTGCTTCATGCTGCAGTTTGGTTTGATGTGCACCAGCTGTGATTGGTACTTTGAAGTGGCCATTTCAGAAGGCAGCATCAACAACAACTTGCAGTTATATAGCGCTCTTCACACAGGGTAGCGTCCTGGAGCCCTTGACAGTGGCGGAGTTTTGACACCAAGCCAGAGGGAGAGGAGGGGGTAGTTGACCGTAAGCACGATCACAAATGAAGGTCTTTAGGCAGGATTTGAAAATAGGGAGGGAGGGGGCATCAGCAGTCTGTACAATCGTGGGACATCACTGACAGGTCGATACTCGCCCAATGTCCACATGTGCACATTCTAGCAGGAGTACTATCAGAAGCGTAAGATACTACACTTGAGTTGCTTGTCTTCACATACGAGCTTACAGACATGATCAGTACCAGGCTCTATGGCTACGGAGGGCATCACAGTCAATCCCTGTCTTCTTACCTGACACCCACACTTACACTCACCAGCAGGGTCACTGGAGAGGGACCGGAAACCTTATTTTCTCCTCTCTAATCCAGGAGAGGTAAAATCAACTAATCCAAGCAGAGATGGGGAATCGAATATGTGATTTTCATTTTTTTGTGGCTCAGTCATTTTTAGTGCATATAATGAGTCCTATTCTCTTAGTATTTTTACATTTTGCTCTGTACCTGTCAGTGGAACACTGCAAAACCTCTTGCAGTTCAGTCTCGAGTTCCTTTAAGAGAGTTTGAACAAGGCTCCTTGTAACTTTACGGTCATCGTCTTCTAATTTTGTCCCATGTCGAATCCATTGCCAAACCTATAATGGAAATTTAAGTTAAAATATTAAACTATAGTTCCAGGAAATATGTAGTAAGTCATAGTCAGTAGTTTCTACTGTACCCACATTATTATACAGCAAAGCCCACACCTCAACTTTTTATCACACCACCGCGCAGTGTGTCTCCAGCAACCAGCTAACAACAACAACTTTGCATTTATACAATGTCATTCACATAGGCTAATGTCTCAGAGTGCTTCACAAAGACGGGATTGGACACAGCAAGGGAGAAGGGAGAGCAGACCATAAATTCAGTTTAAAAGGTAGGTTTTTAGGCATGATTTATGGACAGGTTGAACGATGGAGGGAGGCAGGTATAATAATAACCTGTGCATTTGTTATAGAACCTTATCACATTATTGTGACTTCTCAAAGCACTTCACAGAATATACTGTAAAGTGGATTGACTGTATGAAGTGTGTGAAATGCAGCAGCCAATTGCACACAACTGTGTCCCACAAAGAATCGTGGATTGAGTGACCAATTTTTTTTCTTTTTGGAGGGATTATTACCCCTGGAAAGTGATCTGCCAACTAACAACCAGGTTCCTACTTACTACTAGGTAAATGGAGGCGTGTGGAGTAAGGAAACTTGCCTAAGGTTTCGCCTTGCCCAGGAATCGAACCTGGATCCTCTGACTTGCTAGGCGAGTGCTCTAATCACTACGCTGCTGACACTCCAGTTCCAGAGGTTAGAAGCACAGTAGCTGAAGGCTTAGCACTGAAGTACCAAATACAGAGAAACTGGATATTTATTTATCTCATCAATCCCAGCCTTTGACAACAATCCACGGTACAAAATCAATAACTGTCACCCTCATAAGGATACAGTAATTTGCTGCTGATCTATGGTGTGGGATAGATGTCAGCAATTTTCTTTACAGGAAGGCTGATTTCACACTGGCAGCATGATGTGTGCAACTGGAGAAAATAAGTGTAAGTGGTATTATATGCAGGTGAAATCTTGTTCATTTTATATTTCAGATCAAACAATAAAACTGATACTGGGCATGAACCGTCACAACAGGATGGAGTTTACGTGTGGGTCAAAGGCACTTCTCTAACCGGCTTGACAAGGCTCTGAGACACTGCTCCGTGTGAAGGGCTCTAGATGAATGCAAATTGTTGTTGTTGTTCTAAACCTTTTTTTTAGGCAAACAGAGCAGGCAATTTGCACACATCGTGCCACAAACAGCAGATGGGACCTCAGGTTTGAGGTCTCATCCAAAGGACGTGCAAAGCTGTTTGAAAATGTTCCTGAACAACCATTGTGGATTACCAGGCTCACTGGAAGGCTGTTCCCACTACAAATCAGCAGCCTCACAATCTATATTTCTATAAATATAAATATAAATATTGTATCTACAGTACAAGATAGCACCTCCCAGTGTTCCAGTCAACTTTGAGCACTTACCATTATTACTAGACTGGTAGGGGAAGGAGGGCCAGATCCTTATGTCAGGAAGGGAACGGAATGTGGTAGGGAATATCATTATTTTGTCCTTATCAAAATTGCCACATAGTTGGAGTCCATTCAGCCCATCAAGCTTTGGCTGGTGCTCACACCTCTACTGGTACTGCGCACCTCTGGTCTAAGTGATACAACTTGAGAGGCTGTTAAGCAACAAACATGTTGCAAATTTTTCAGTCCTAGCTTGACAGCACACTGAGAAGTTGTAAGAAACAAACAAACAGTCATATTTTGGTTCGGGACATACATATCACTGTTCGTTCGGAGACAAACTCTTCTGAAAACCATGAATGTCAATAAATTAAATACATAGTCTCCACCTTGGCTCTCATTTAGGAGTTTTGATTGTTGCTCTATGTTAGGGAAAATAAAACTTACGTTTCTTTTATATTGTTTCTTATATTTTATCCAATGACAAGGAAACACACTGAAGGTGTCCTCAATGTCAATTCAAACCTCATCCACTGGAAGAGGCACTCGCCACAAAAAGGATCTGCCAAATTCAGTACCACTTTTCTTTATGAGGTGCCTTCAAAGAGAATCTTTGGATAATAATAATCCTTGCATTTGATATAGTGCTTTTCACGTCGTCTAGATGTCTCAAAGCGCTTCACAGAATAGACTGTAAAGTGAATTGACTGTACATTTGTGGGCGAAATACGGCCGCCAATTGCGCACAGCAGTGTCCCACAAACAGTCATGGATTGAAAATAACCAATTTATTATTGTTTTGTTCTGGAGGGATTATTATCAGGCGTGTGGATTAAGGAAACTTGCCCAAGGTTTAGCCCTGCCTGGAATTGAACCTAGGTCTCTCGCTGCAAGGCGAGTGCTCTAACCACTGAGCTACAGGACTCCACATATCTTCACATACTTAAGAAAAACTATACCAGATACAGGGTAGGTTCCCCAACGCGCACCCTGTGGTCCCCAAGCCTTGGCTCTTGCCAACCTGCACCTAATACTTGCCGGAATTAGGTAAGCAGGATGCGTCCCTCCAGGAAGAGGATGTGCACCCAACCTCTGGAACTCCATCCCATAGTCCCTCCGTCTCGCCCCCTCCCTCGCCACTTTTGAGACCCACCTCAAGACCCTCCTCTTCCCCCTGCCCTCCCCCACCCCAACCCTCACCTATGTGTAGGTGGGATGCATGGAATTCTCAGTTTAGTTTGGATACTCTTAAGCCTGGTGATGGGTTTCCGCATGCGTCAAAGACACCCAGCTGAACCAAAACAAACGGCAGGGTGGTGGAATTGGAGGAAATGGTAGACGCAGAGAAGCCTAGGACTAGGATGAGCACAGTGGGTTTAACAGCCTTCTGTGCTGTAAACAACGTACTCTGCTATGATTTCCTTCCCTCGACAGTAACTGAGTTAAGTAACAAAAGAAGGTAACGTGTTTCCAGCAAAGCCTAGGAGGCGCCCGAGTCTGGAAGAACCAGAAGAAGCTTAAGAGCTGCTGTAAACTTGGATTCCTGCTCTTACGCACAGCACAACCATTAAGACTCATTAACCATTAATGGGTCATGACATCATTTCCCACGATTCAAGGCAGCTGGTAAGTGCAGGAGTAATGGGGAGTAGGGGAGTGGTGTAACAAGTTAGGAGGTGATTAACATGACCAGTGCAAAGAAATCTCAGTGGTTTTGATAGGAAGCTGAATGGGACTCATGTGAATGTATGACTTACGCATTTATATGATTTATAAAGATAAGAATTATGTGAGTATTACTATAGCAGGGGCTCACTGGGGTCAAGTTCAGCACCTTGGGATGTCCTCCCATTGTGAAAGGTGCTTTATAAATGTAATTTTTGTATTGTAAGTGAGAGCTGATGACTACACTATGGTTAAAATCGCTACGATCTATAGAAAATCTCAGAGGCCTTCAGTGTGCAGAGTGACAAGTAGCAAAGCAGCAGCTCTGACGATTCTCTGACCAGAACAGAATGGAGATCTGATGTTCTTGTCCCTTGGCCATGCTGTTTCAGACAACTAACACCAGGAACTGACCCCCATGCCAAAATTGGCCCTTCCATCCCTGTAACCAGCTCTTTCTTCTCCCCACCATCACCAGAATCGGCCTGGTCTGGCTATCTGTCTGCCCCCAGAACTAGCTCCCACGCAGAAGAGTCTCCCTGACCCCCGGCACTTGCCTCATGGAACTGGCTTGTCTGCCTCCCCAGGGCCCAGATTGCCTCCCCCCTCTCCTTCCCCCCAATCCCTCTGTCCCCAGACACTGGCAAACCTCACCTTGTGAACATGAAAGAAATATAGAGCCAAACAGATCAATATTACAGCAAGTGTGTTTCCCATGCTTCAGATTAACCATTCTTTAGGATGCTGTTTGTGGGACACTGCTATGCGCAAATGGCTGCTGCATTACGCTCACAAAATACACAGTCAATCCACTTTACAGTAGATCCTGTGAAGCGCTTTAAGACATCTTTACGACTTGATAAGGCGCTATATCAAATGCAAGGATTATTATGCCTAAGTGCTACTTCCATACACCTGAACCCACTATAGCACTGTGTGTGCCATTCTGCAGGTAAAATGTGAGGTGGAGTCACCTGCTATACAATTGCAAGCTTAGATACCTGTGATCGGGAAATCTCTGCAGTCGCTGAATCTTCCACCTGACCCCGAAAGAAAAAGTGACCTTGACCTGGAAGAGGGGAAAACATGAATAAATAATTTGTCGCAACTCCTTCAAAGTAAATTGTATCTAACCTTTAGGATACAACCTATTTCAATTCATTTTTACCATGATGTTTTTGCTAGGTGAGCTGTGTGTGTCTCTCCCGAGGGAAAAAAAGAGAATCATAGAATATTGCAGTACAGAAGGAGCCCATTTGGCCCATCGAGCCCGTGCTGGCTGTTTGGAAGAGCTACCCAATCATTCCCAACCCCTACCCCACACTCTTTCCCTATATCCTTGCAAACTTCTTCTATTCAAGTACCTATCTAATTCCCTTTTGAAAGTTGTTATTTAATCTGTTTCCACCGCTCTCTCAGGCAGAGCGCAGTTCATTCCAGAGTCGGAAATTTCTGTGCTTATGTGGAACTCAGTAACGTGGTTTGGATACTATTGAGCGAGGCAATGGGTTTCCATGTATATCAGACAACCAGCAAACCAACAAAATGTTTTAAAATATATATTTTGTTGTCAGATACACCCGCTGGTATAAATGTCTAATGCAATAGTTTTTGCTTGAAAAACTCTTGTAATCGCCTGCTCGAGGTCACTGGTTACAATGAGCATCTTAGGATCTTCTCTCTTTGAGTCCATTACAGAATATAGTCATTGCAGAGGATTCAGTTTATGATGTTGGGTCCTGTAAACTGCTCTTGTGATCTTGTGTTCCTATTGCCTCACTTCTTTTCGTTCAAGTAATTATGTTGTCTGAGTTTTTTTGTATATATTGATGATACTTGATTTGTGTGTCTGTATTGTTAGTGTTGATTTGTAAAGTTCTAGTCACAGAACTCAGCCTATCCTGTTTGTGGATATTGACTTTGTACAATAGGTTTTAAGTTCAAAAGAATCTCAGTACATTGCAGTGTAATGGAAGTGTGCATAGCTCCCTCTAAAGGGGAGATGTAATCTGCAGTTATCTGATTTCAGCAGCTGTGGATGCTACAAGTTTTTATAATAACCAGATTTTATAATAATAATAATAATTCTTACATTTGATATAGCACCTTTCACATCGGGAGGAAGTCTCAAAGTGTTTCACAGGATTTACTGTGACTTGCCATGACTGTATTTGTAGGCAAATCTCGGCAGCAAATTTGCACACTCAATATCACAAATAGCCATGAAGTGACTGATCAATTTTATTTGGGAGATTGGTGGCCAGGAACCCAGTAGAAACTCCTTTCATTTTTTGAATAGTATGATGGCATCTTTAACATCCACCTAAACCAACAGGAGGGAATTCCGAAGGAAGTCTCATCGGAACAATGACATCTCCAACAACGTGATGTATCCCCAGCACTGCATTAAGTGTCAACCTGGAATATGCATTCAATCCACAAAAAAGGGAGCGATTGCTTTCAACTGAGCCAAGCTGACAAGTTGGAATCAAAATAGATAAAGTCATGGGGGGGGGGGGGAGTGGGGAAGGAAAAACAGTCTTGAGTTTCCAGTTGTCTGACTAAATCTGAGATACAGATACATTCTGACACCGGCCTTCTCGTAGCCCAGTCTCCTCCCCGGCCCCTCTTTTCAGCTAACACAGGCCTGAAGTCAGTCCCCCAACCCCTCCACATCACTATTGATGGCCATGGCTTCAGCCACTACACCCTAACCTCGGGAACTCCTTGCCTCAATCCCCCACCTCACCCCCTCTTTTATCTTTAAATCCCACTTAAAGATCTACAGTCACCTCCCCCTTTTCTTTCGGTGTTCAACCCTGTCTCTGTACAGGGCTCTGAGATGCTATCCTGTGTGAAGGGTGCTACATAAATGCAAATTATTGTTGATTGAACCCAGGTTATCATCAGTGAGGAAAATCTTTCTGAAACCATCCTTACCTCTTAGCCAAGCCTCGATGAAGAGAACACCCACTCCAATGTTATACTTCAGTCCGTACAGAGTAACCCCTCCCTACATATTGAAAACATACATTATTCACAGACACAGACATAATGTATATATATATATGCCTTTATCCATATCGTTGCCTCTGATAGTAATTGTTTTGCTTATTAAAGTCATGGACGTCAATGCTGCGAATTGAATATTTCCCACCTTTTACAGTTAACATTATATAAGCGCTTTGAGATGTCCTCCAGATGCAAATGTAAATCGAACTGAATTAATATCAAGCACACCCAGTTTAGGTTTGGAGTGGGTTATCTTTTAATGAAGGTTCCTTCCACTGTATCAATCTTAACCTTGAATGTGGCAGAGTGTCCATTGTTTTACCATAAGTAGGCCTACAAAATACACAATCACTACAGTTTACTCAGTGAAGCACTTCGAGACACCTTCCTGACGTGAAAGGAGCTATATCAAACATAAGAGTTAAATGCAAGAATTATTATAGACACATTCAAATTTCCTGCACCAGCCAATCCTTGGAGCCTATTTAGTTCAGACCGGTGATGTGCCAAATGGCAGCACTTGTGTGCTGAATGATGATTGAGACTGACCAACCTCATTTCAACAGGGAAGNAAAAAAATACATCTTTAACACCCCACCTTCCACCCCAAAAATAAACAAAAGTCTGAGACCTGGGGTCTGTCATTGGTAACAGATACAATGAGTGTTATCCAGATCACAAGAGAACAGTCCCTCTCTTTCAGAGAGGGAAATACATCAATTCACTTTACAGTATGTTCTATGAAGCGCTTTGAGACGTCTCGAAGACGTGATAAGGCGCGATATCAAATGCAAGGATTATTATTATATTAATAATTTCCAGTGAGAGATGCAGTATACCCCAGTGCACGTGAAAGTTTTATACACAATTTTAAAAGCTGTGTGGATTCTGTAAACTTCTCAGCACTTTAAAAAAAAAGGAGAATGCTTATCTTCTATTCTTCCCCTCGACTGACCAAATCTGAATGCATTTTACACAACGCAAGATAATACAGATAGATGATTTCAGCCATATTTGTCAGTCTATTAACTTCACCTGCTTCTGAGGCCTAGAATTGCTCCTGGCATTAGACTTAAGACCATTGTCTTAAACTTTAAGATTGTTCCAAATTATGGAAAAATTGATTATATTCTGTCTTAATTCGGAAGCCAATTATTTACAGCAAATGAACAGTGGGAAAACTCACTTCCAGATTAAGATGTAATTTTAAAAATATTCAAAAATTCTGCATAATCGTAAAGTTTAAGACATTGAATGAATGGCCTTAAGGCCAAGACCTTGAGAAGCGCTTTGAGACGTCCAGAAGACGTCTATATCAAAAAAATAAAAAGTGCTATATAAATGCAAGGATTATTTATTACCACTGCTGTCCTCACAGACTGCTAGTTGGACTTCAAATCCCGGATGAGAGCTGATTTCCTGCAATTGAATGTCAACAACACTGAGACCCTCCTGCTTGGCTCCCGTCAGCGCCTCCATAACGTGGGCGTTGACAGCATCTCCCTCCATGAATGCACTCCACATCTCATGGAGCCAATACGGAACCTCGGCATCCTGTTCAACTGTCCTTCATACCCCACATCCATGCCGTGACCGGCTCCACCTTTCCCCACCTCCGCAACATCGCTCAGCTCCGCCACTGTCTCACACCGCAGGCCACCAAGACCCTCATACACGCATTCGTAACATCCAGGCTCGACTACACAAACTCCCTACTTGTCGGCCTCCCCAACTCCTCCCTTCATAGGCTGCAGGTCATCTAGAACTCTTGCACCAGGCTCCGCGACCCTATCACCCCCATCCCCATCTGACTCCATTGGCTTACCATCACACAGAGGATACAGTTCAACATCCTGGTCCTCACTTTCAAAGTCCTCCACGGCCTTGCTTCCACCTACCTCTGCAAACTCCTAAGCCCCTACCAACCTGCCCGCTCACTCCGGCTGATTTCACGTCCCCCGCCTCGCCCGTCCCATCATTATCGGGTGGACCCTCAGCCACTCTGCTCACACCCTCTGGAACTCTATCCTGCAGTCTCTCTGCCTCGCCCCCTCCCTTGCCTCCTTCAAGTCCCATCTCAAGACCCTTCTCTTCGACCATGCCTTTGGTCACCTTCCTTTCTCCCCTGCCCTTCACCCTCGCCAATCCCGAACCCCAGCTCAGGTCTGAAACACTGATTGTCCAGCGCCTTGGGACGTCCTCCCGACGTGAAAGGCGTTACACAAAATGTTGTTGTTGTTGTTGTTGGGAAGTTCAAATGAAAGTGCAGAGTGTACAGTGCAGGACTCCAGCAAGATGGAAAGAGTAGGAATTAGTTACATAAATCAAATGGAGGTCAGGTGGCTTCAAGCTTGGGTTTTATAAACTTAGAGTGTAGGAGAAATCCTGGGGGAAGTAAGGAGTTTTGAGGTCCTGGGAAATAATGGGTTATAAGATGGTAAGTAAGTCCTGATTTCAGCAGGTTGAGGACTCAGGAAGAATTTGCAAGATGAAGTACTTGGCACAGCCAGTGAGGCAGCTTCAAAGGAGCACAGATCACAGTACTAGCAATACACTGAGACAAGGAAGTGTGTAAGCGTGAGAACAAGAAAGGTTTGAGTTTGGAGCCGAGAGAAGGAACAATGTGCTCCAAAAATCATGACTAAATTCTGTACACGGATCAGTAATTTGCACACTCAACAGTTCACTACAACAATGGAAAGGAATCTGTTGGATCAGCGGTTCCTATAAGTTTTTTCTGTCGGCACTACAGCCTGATAGATTGTAGTCTCATACTTACAGAAGGCATAGAAAGCAGGTCCTTTGCAGTCACAGCCAGTTCCTCTCTTAGGATGTGTAGCTGATTGGGGCCTACAGTACGTTCCTTAAAGAGCTGGAATTGAATGAGGAATTAAATACGACATATGAAGTACAGTCAACTGAATCCTAATTACTATTATTATAATCCTAAACTCCACAGTGACAATAATTCCAATGAAAACATACATGCAACCAGTTGACAAACTTGGTCATTTTATCACCCGTGCCAGCCTGGCTGAGTTGGTCGCACTATGGCTCTATTTGAAAAAGAAGGGAGTCCTGGCCAACAATACCCCAAATAAAACAAAAAATTTCATTCATAACATTGCTGTTTGTGGGACATTCCTGTCTGCAAATTGGCTGCTTGATTCCTCAACGAGATATAGACTCATTACACTTTGCAGTACACTTCTGCAACAACAACAAGATTACATTTGTATAGCGCCTTTCACGTTGGGAGGACGTCCCAAGGCACTAGATAGTGTACAGCATTTCAGACCTGAGCTGGGGTCAGGGGGGAAGAAGGGAGGGGAGGTGATTATTATTATTATTTTCATCATTATTATTGTTATTATTAGCAAGCGCAATGATTATTATTTTTGATTTTATTTATTATCCAGTTGACCTGGATATTTGTGTGGATATTTCTTACAGGACACGGCTAGTCCAAATGCATCCCCTATTTATTCTGAAAACTGAGTTCCTATTCGATGGCTTAATTGATGAAATCATTACCCAGTATAGAACTGAGCCATACATAACAGGAAGGTCCCAGGTTCCACCTCCAGTCTGTGTCAAGTTTGCTGTGCTCAGATGGTTGGGGTACTAACACTGGATCTGAGGGTCCCAGGGCTAAGGAGGAGGAGAACAGCCAGGGTTTCTGCTTCTGATCACTAATAAGTGCCCCCGAGTGGAAAGCACACGTATTACAGGTCGCAGGTTAGGACACAGTCCAGCTTATCCATACAGTCCCTACAATTGCATAACATACATACTCATCAAGTGCATTAATGTGCCATCACTTGGACTAAAGGTAGCAGGAAGGCTGGCATATCAGCCTAAAAAACTGTGAATTACTGCTTCTAAATAATTATGGGGACCAAGCTTGATGGTCATGTGATATTTACCATATGTAATGAACCTCCAGCTCCACCCAATCTCAATACTGAGTTTGGAAAGGCCAAATAATATTTTGTGCTGCTTTGCCAGGTCTTGTTGTTAAGGTTGTCTTGGTTTTGGGCATCAAAATCTCGGCACTCATTTAGAATTTCTTTTACATCCTGGTATTAAGCGCTCCGAAATGCTGTCCGGCATGAAGGGCGATATATAAATGTAGGTTGTTGTTGTTGTATTGTTACACACTGGTATTTTATTCAGTACATTCACCTCGCAGTACAAGAATGTAACATGTCTAAATACCTTCTGCATTGGTTCAATCAGGTCCAGATCGAACACCATGAATCCATCCACTCCAGCATTGATTTCAAGCAGCTTCAAGCTACGGTAACAACACATAGTTATCGACTCTGCACCGGGCAACAAACTACTCACTCAAACGCTAGACGTACTCCGCATTTCATTCTTTCAAGACTTATTTCCAAATAATGAAGGGAATTAACAGATGGATGTACTTCTTTTAATAGCACAACTTGTAAAGACTTCACTGGTCCTTGTAGACCAAACAGGTGTAGGTTTGAAGCCTGAGCTGTGCAGGGTTACACTGGCTTCAAACAGGGCCAGCAGTTGAAGTGCTACAATTGGCCTCAGTACCTGTGGGATAGGGAAAGGAAAGATAGCCCTCAATCCCACTTCCGATCACTACTGAAAGGCGCATACCTTGGGGATGTCGGATGGGGACAAGATCGTATCAGCTGTGATGTTCTCCTGCCGACACTGATTGTCAGGACTCACACACAAACACCTGTACCATTTGGGATGAGTTACGGGAGGCGCTTGTAGAACCATAACACAGAAGAAAGAAATCTAAGAATCTAACGCTCTGAGCAAGGAGGAGAGAAAACTGGAGGAGAAAATAGGGTAAAGTCAACAAATCAATAAGGTTGATCCTGTTTAATTAACTGGTATAGAACCAGAATAGGAGAGCTGGGAACTTGATCATAAGCTAAGGATGATAGATATAACTTAAGGAATAATTTCTCCACACTTTACATTAATATCTGGGCCACCTTTATTCAGAAATAAGGGAACCATATTCCCAATTCAGCTGGAACAACGCTATCAGCAGTGAGACAGGAATTACATGAACATTGAATAGTGTAGTGTATCAGGGCAGAGCTCATTCCGGGACGTTTAAATAACGTCTCTAAAGCTTATTTCAACAGGAAGAGCTAGTGCCTACAATGTGCACGGTAAACCCACTTGTACTCACTATGTAACAGCCTTTGTGACTCTCTGGTATTCGGCGCTTCCCTTCTCCCGGGGCAGTAACAGGGCTGCCATTCCTCCAGTGGCCAGGGCCCCTCGCTTATGGCAGGTCCTCACCAGGAGATCCATGTAACTCTTCAAAAACAGCTTCTCCATGTTCACGTATTTACTGCGATCCGGCAGGAGGAACCCCTGGCGATGGCCTGGGCAATAGCATCGCAACAACAGCGGAGCACGTTTATAAAACAAACAGGTTCTACCTATATATCAGATCGCTGTCCTTTCTTATCTGGGGCCTGGGTTCAACCCGAGCCCAGATGAACAACAACAACAAACTGCACTTATATAGCGCCTTTCATGGCGGTAGGACATCCCAAGATGCGGGACAGTCAAGGGTTTGTACCTGAGCTGGAGTCAAGAGGGGTGGGGATGGGAGCGGGATATGTGATGAGAAGATGACCAGAGGCACGGTCGAAGAGGAAGACTTGAGGTAGGACTTTAAGGAGGCAAGGGAGCGGGCAAGGCTGAGGAGCTCCTGGAATAATAGCCTTTCTCTCTTTTTATGTTGCCCTAACCAAACTGAGATTGGTCAGTCTCAAGCTACTTTGTATGTTGCACAAAACTGCTCTTAAACCTTGGCTGCCTCACTCAGAGAGACAGGCAGGGTATCTGAGGTACTGAGCCTGCAGTAACCAGTATCCATCACCACCTGGATATGTCTGCTGGATCCCAACAATGTGTGGCCAGCACAGCGAGTGACCCATTCGGCTCAGTCACATCTTTAGTGTCTCGTCTTAGGAATAAAATGTTAACCAGGTACAATATCTTACAAGTACAAAAACTACGTACTTAAGCAGAGTGCTTAAGTACTTAAGCAGCTAAGACCTTGATGCTCATTGGACTCTGGCTTTGCAGAGCTGAGGCCATGGCTACACTGACAAGTTACATTAGAGTGACAAACAGGTTGGTCAACCAGCAACAACAGTGTTGGATCACTGTAGCTCTTCCGCCATTGTTGGGCATTTGTAAACATTGTACTTAATTTCCCATTCTGGAAAGGAGGAGCTGGGCACAGAATTATTGAAACACAGACCCTTTGCCACCCATGTCCAGTGCTCAATAGACTATATTAGCCGGAATGGGTTGTTTTGGAAACACCTTTAAAGATTATAATACAAAGTGGCAGCACCAGGAATGTGTGCTGAGCAGACGGCACTTGTGAATTAAGGTATAATTGGGACTGACTGCTCACCAAATTTGTTCACAAAGGAGGCGGAGTAATCCCAGATACCACAGTTCAAGCCAGCAGAATGGTCTTGCAGCTCGTACAGAATCTCTTCCATCTCAAACGTGGCCAGGATGCTCTCTATCAGGACCGTGGCTTTGATAGAGCCAATCGGTAAACCCAACTGGAATGCAAAGCGATACAGCTCTAGTCTGTAACTGTGTAACAAGCTACCAGTGCCCTGTTATTCCATCCATTTGATCTCATTGTTATGGATTGACATGTTTTATTCCTAAAGGACTTTGGGGAAAAAATTCCACTCAGGTCTAGATTTACTCTATTCACTCAACAATTTTAGAGAGCCCAGAATTTAATAATAATCCTTGAATTTAATCTAGCGCCTTAACACTTCCTTTAAGATGTCTCAAATCACTTCACAGGATATATTATGTGTATAATATATTGTAAAGTGAATTGACAGTGTATGTTATGGGCAAACCGTTGAATTTGGTTTTAATTTTGAATCCCGTTTTTCTCTAGTTCTTAAAAGAACTTAACAGAAAAACAGCTTCAAAATAAAGGCTGTGTTTAAGGATAGAAATGCTACATAAATAAAGTAAATCTAGACCTAGATGGAATATCTTCCCAGATGACTCCTGCTCTATAAGAAAAGCTCTACATGAACTGCAGTCCCCTGAATATCCATCGGTCTGAGCACAAGCCGATTTCACCCCCTTCCTAGGACAGAGAACGACTCCAGCAATCCTACTGCTCTCCAACTGTGATAAACTAGCCTAGCATGGACTCAGGGTCCATATGTGCTCTGTTTCCAGCACTTTAGGTTCTCTCTCTCTCAATCCCTCCTTAGCCCCCTCCCTACACCATGCCAGTGGTCTGACCATGCCCTGCTGACTCTCCGATCACCCGCTCCTCTTCTCCATGTGCGAGTTTCGGTCACCGAGCTAACCTGAGCTGCCTTCCCCCCCAAATACCTATAGCTTCCCACCATCTGCTTTCAAATTAATTAAAAATGGTTACAAAATCTGGGGATGAAAATCACAAACTGTAACATGTAACCACATTTCTGATAAATTTGGTCCAGGCGACACCACCAGCTGTGCCACAGTGGAGGAACCTGCAGCAAACTGCTGCAATTAAATACATTTTGTTAAATTATAAATACAGGAATTCTTCTTTCTTTGCACAGTCTGTTCTCCTGACTCATTGGATTATGCCAGACAACCCTTCAGCAACTCCTAGCTGTGAAAGGGATGCCTTGTGATCTGTTCCCAGGTCTCTGCCACTTTATGACCAAATGCTGGGAGATGTTCCTGCAGCCTCGATTTATGCCTTGGCCAGGCCGTCTTTGCATTTTCCTTCCTGTCCCTTCCAGAACAAGCCACCCTCCCGTAGCACAACATGGCAAAGCACCAAAGAACAGAACTATTCTCCCCTCCCACCCACTGATTTATTTAGTTAGTACATAGAAGATAGCACTAATAATGATTACAGCTATGCAAAATAGATTACATTTATAGAGGGGATGTGATTGATTTGAAAATTGCTGTGTACAATTTGTATTTAGATTCAGTTTATGCCAAAAGTCAAACTAAATTGTAGTTTGATCAAAAGCATACGATTGCCTTGCAGAACCATACCTTCTTTTGCACCCAGATAAATATTTGATTCCAGAGTCTGGCCTCCAAATAGCTCTCAACCTGTAGTGACAAAAAACAGACAGAATATAAATTATCCTTTGTTACACATCCTGGAGCATATTATCAGCATCAAACGATAGATTGTGAGATACCAGGCAACTTAACAGGATGTACAAAGGAATTATTTCTATGGCTTTATGGCAGTAGAACTTTGTACAGACCTAAAGATAAGCCTATCTGCAAGACAAGTATGTTAATATCAATCTTAATATTGATCTTATTTTAAAGTTTATATTTCAGGATTAACTGCATTTTCCTCAGTTGTAATCAGAACATGATGAATTAATTTGATTTGCCTCAACTTCCTTGACAGAAAGTGGAATGGTATATATTTGGATGTTGACATCATTCCCAAAGAACACCAGACTCTCTTTATTTTCAAATCCTTTTTTTAAAAAATGTTTTAAAAAAAAATCTCCCGAATTTTAGGCTCCAGGAACCGTTCACTCCCAGCCTAATGGCAGTAGGAGGGTAGCTCCTATTGCCCTACAATACCACATTCTGAACTCTACTGAAGATATGTGAGAGAAAATTGAGGTGACAGGATCGTACTTTAATATTCACTTTCATTGCAGGCTATTTTTCTGCAACACTCCAACAAGGATATGATATTGGCCAATCACTAATCTTTCAGTTAATAAAGACACACTACAGCCCAGAGCAGGAGTGGGCAATTATTTTGGCTGGCAGGCCACTTCATGAGTTTTGGTAAGCTTCGCCTGCCACCAACTTAATATAGATGCAAATGCTTAATAATAGGTCAAAATCAAGTCTTACACTTGTACATGCATAAAATAAAGTCTATATAATTGACATTCATTAAGATTAGGTTAAATAAAAACAACTCATTGAGCAGATATTTATTCGATATTTATTAATTTATTCACATATTGCTGAGAATATGAGAAGCTCACTCAACGGGAAGAATGAAATCGCTGATGTGTGTTAACCAGACAATTGAAGTGAGGCATCATCTCCGTTGTTGCAATGCGGAGTACAGCTGCAAGGTGGTCATCAGTCATCACAGATCTATGTTTTGATTTATTGAATTTCATCACAGAAAATGTCTCCTCGCATATGTATGTTGATCCAAATGCAAAATCAGAGAGCCAATTCGCATCATTCAGCTGTGGGAAATCCAAATCTTTTTGTTTCATGCCCAAAAATATATCAATCTCTGTTCTCAGTTCCCAGACTCTTTTCAAGACCTTTCCTAAACTAAGCCATCTTACATTCGTGCAATACAAAACATCCGTGTGCTCGGACTCCAATTCCTCAAGCAGAGTTACAAATTGCTTGTGGTTTAATCCTCTTGCTCGAATGTAATTGACCACTTTCGTAACTGTGTCCATGACATTGCTTAGTTTTAGAACACTCTTACAGAGGACCTCTTGGTGGATAATGCAGTGTAGAAAAACAATATTCTGTTCTGGATTTTTTTCTTTGACTTGATCTTGAATTCTTTTCAGTAACCCAACATTTTTGCCTGTCAAATTTGGGCTTCCATCGGTGGTCACATTCACTATTTTCCACTCCACTCCTAATTTTAAGATACACTTATTTACTGCCTCCAAAAAGTCTTCTCCAATTGTCGTATCTTTCATTGACTGCATTGATGCCAATTCTTCTGTGAGCTCAAAATGTTTTGTGATACCTCGAATAAAAATTATCAACTGGGCTGTGTCTTTGACATCACAACTCTCATCGAGTGCCAGTGAAAAACATGCAAAATTGCTTACTTTATTTTGTAACTGCAGGTACAGGTTCTCAGAGATATCCTCGACACATCTCACAATAGTTCATCTTGACAAGCAATGTTCTCGAACTGTTTTTTCTTGTCTGGGCATAAAATTGAGGCAGAGTCAACCATACATTCTTTTATAAATTCTCCTTCAGAGAATGGTTTGCTGTTCTTGGTGATTTTGTAGGCAATCTCGTAACTCACTCTTGCAATCTCATCCTGGGACACAAATTGTTTTGTGAAAATGCCTAGCTCTTTTTCCATTCGAACAACCAGCTTTCTTTTTTCTTCGGCAGAAACATATTTGCTCTCAAAATGGCAATTCAAGTTGTAGTCTTTGAGCACTGCCACACTTTTTTTTTACAAATTAAGCACACAGCTTTTCCACCCACACTGTTAAAATAAATATTTAGAAGTCCATTCTTTGTTGAATATCCGGCCTGTAGCTCAGTGGTTAGAGCACTCGCTTTGCAAGCGAGAGACCTGAGTTCAATTCCAGGTAGAGGGCGAAACCTTGGGCAAGTTTCCTTACTCCACACAGAGCCTAATAATAATCCCTCCAAAACCAAAAACAATAATAAATTGGTCATTTTCAATCTACGACTGTTTGTGGGACATTGCTGTGCGCAATTGGCTGCCGCGTTCGCCCACAAATATACAGTCAATTCACTTTACAGTGTGTTCTGTGAAGCGCTTTGGGACGTCCTCCCGACGTGAAAAGCGCTACATCAAATGCAAGGATTATTATTATTATTATTATTCAGCGTCCACTTTCTGCTTCTTTGATAAACTCATTTCGAATTAACGTCCTCTTCTGCCGCCCTTGTTTGAAAATTTGCCGATCCATACATTTCTAACGTCAGCCTGATTCAACACTTAAGGGAGGGTGCGCACAACTAAGCAATGTGATTGGCTAATGTTCCCAGTCAGATTTAAATGCGAAATTTGTGCGACTTTCTGGGACTGAATGAACTATAATTTTTTCTATTGCTAGACACAATGATGGGCCGGATAGAATCAATTGGCGGGCCGGATATGGCCCGCGGGCCGTCTTTCGCCCACCCCTGGCCTAGAGTGTGAGTGACTCACCCACTCATAAGGTTAAAGTTTGAACCTTGGTCTGGTCAAGTTTGTTGATCTCATTCGGAGAGGCAAAATAAAAAGTGGCCTCAGTGTCACTGGCTAAAACTATCAGCTGGGATAAATGCAACAGACCTCCTTGCTGGAAAGGATAAGTGATTTACATACATTTACATTTAGACATTAAGAGAGAACAGGCCTAACTAACAGTGGCGGCTTGTCAGGTGACTGCCACACTTAGAATTTCGGGGGAGCGGGAACGAGGCAGTACCCGGGCAGGAGCGAGGCCAACAGGACAGAGACCAAGACACTACGCATGTGCGAAGGGTCCGTTACCATGGTATCAAGATAGCTTGGTTAGGCAAACTCAGATTGCCTCACCTGTCAAAAAATGTCACCAGCCGCCAGTGGTGACAATGCTTCTACAGTCAAATGCCCTGACTATACTCGCTGCCTAAGCTTACATATGAATAATGCCACCTGGGTGAGGCACCAGATGGTTGTTGAAGCCCATGGAATCACTGCCCTCCACAGGCTGGTTCATTCACAACTTGTACCTGTTCTTTTGTCAAAGAAATCACTGACAATTACTGATGAAGCACAATAGCTGTTCAGATCTATCGCAGTTCTCGGTATTGATGGGAATGGGGTAACAGTAAACGCAAAGGCACAATAATGTGAAGCACTTTATCAGCATAAATTGATATTGCAACAAAACTCTACAGTACCTTTGAGAGATAAAAGAAAGGGCCGCTTTCCTTCTCAAACAAAATGCGTCCATTGTGGTACATTAACAATCCAAAGTCAAACAGTGGTCCTGGCACCTCCTTTCCGTTTACCTGTTGATTACAATCAACGCTTAGGCCATGCACTCACAACAACTAAACACAATTCAATCTTGTCTTAATAAAAAATTGTTTGCAAGCAATGAAAGTACCAGCATATTGTGTTCGACCATGTTCCATGCTCTCGGTCTTAGCATTAAAATAGGTGCCTTTGAAATAGGTGGCACATCTGGAAACAGAACATTACAAAGACTATAATATTCTATAATAGCATTTATACTATAATATAATTATAACATAACGTAATAGGCCTATATTCTCTAGAATATAGAAGAATTAGAGGTGATCTTATAGAAACCTTTAAGATTCTTAAGGGTCTGGACAGGATAGATAGTGTGAGACTGTTTCCCCGGTTGGAGAATCTAAAACTAGGGGTCATAGTTTCAGGATTAAAGGTCAGCCCTTTAGAACAGAGTTGAGAAAACATTTCTTTACTCAGAGGATAGTGAATTTATGGAACTATCTACCCCAGAAGGCTGTGGATGTTCAGTCATTGAACATATTCAAGACTGAGACAGATAGATTTTTATAATCTAAAGGGATTAAGGGATATGGGGATGGGGCAGCTAAATGGCATTAGGTTAGAAGATCAGCCATGATCTTATTAAATGGCGGGGCGGGCTCGAGGGGCCGAATGGCCTACTCCTGCTCCTATTTCTTATGTTCTAAAGACATCAGTATTTGCAGGTACAAGGCAATCCTTGAGGTGCAAGCATACAGCAACATGTTTTGATTTCCCTTCGCAGAGTAATAATAATAATATTCCTTGCATTTTATATAGCGCCTTATCACATCATTGAGACATCTCAAAGCATTAAACAGAATATATTGTAAGTGGATTGACTGTGTATTTTGTGGGTGAAATAGTATCACTGAAGCTTGCTGTTTGACCAAAAGAGTGAAGAAGCCTACGATTACTATAAACTTGAATTATTAACTCTGGATGGTGATGGAGGGGAAGGAGGGGCAGGGTATTTTCCTCTTGTTGGTAAGTTTATGAACCTTTGGGAACACGGGTTATATTCCCTAGATCTGAGTAGGTTAAGGGGTAATCTGCTTGAAGTATTTACAGGAATGAAGGGAACTGACAAGCTGAACCAGGAGTGACTCTTCATTCTTCCAGAGTGATCCAAAATAAGAGGAGACAGGCTTCAAATTAGAGTTAAGACAGTCGGAAGTGAAATCAAAAAACATTTCTTCACCCAGGGGATTGTGAGAAAGTGGAATGCACTGCTTCATAAGGCCATAGGTCCAGATTTGATTGGGATGTTTGAAAGCACTTAGAGGGTAGATTTACCAGGAGTTTTTTTTCAAAATATTTCTACCCCATTTTTTTCTGAAAAAAATAGATCCTATACCACCAAAAAATGCCTGTTTTTTTTTCATTTTGTGACTGAAAACAACTTAGATGCTCAGCCTATATGCTGTGTGCTGATAATGGCAATGTAAGTGGACACCAAACTGCGTACTTTCTGAGCGAGGAGAAAACAATGGGTTTCAGTGTTGAACAATGGAGCAGTCGTGCACATTGCTATGGATAAAAACACATGGTTTTGATTCTCCCACTTTTATAGGTTCCTGATGTGAGCTGTGCTGAGCGAAGACCAAGGCATCGCCCTGAGAAACAGCAAGTTGTGTCTGAGCCACACGTTGTACAGTACTTCAGAGCAGATGGCTGAAGAGAGTAATATCACCATTGACTTAGGAGCAGACAATACGCCACCCCACTGAGCAATAGAGATGGGCGGGCCAACCGATGGGAAAACAAGATATTGAAATAAATAAATGTTGGCTTGATAAGAGAATCAAAACGTAGCATTGGCCACATGAGACAACTCCTTATTCAGTGGTAGAACACATACTGGATGGATCTGCATGCTTTGTGCCCGAGATAGCGTTCTTAAAGAAACAACCTGACATATATGAGAAGGCAGCACAAGTATAGATGTGCAAACAGCATTTATACAGAAAAAATAGGTTAAAGAGACTCTTACCTGGAAACTGGTTATGAACTGCCTTGTAAATATTGAAGAGCCCTTGGATTTGATTAAAGTAAGTTGGACAGTGTCCGTCATCAAAATCAGTCTGTAATCATACAAAATAAACAATCAGCCTTTTAGTTATTATTATTATTAATAATAATAAATCCTTGCATTTGATATAGTGCATTTTAATGTCGGTAAGACGTCCCAAAGTGTTTCACAGCATTTACTGTGAAGTGTAGAGACTGTGTATTTTGTAGGCAAACATTAAACTTTCAATAGAGCAGAAAAAAAGAGAATGAAAGAAAATACGACAGAGGTGACCCTTTCTCTATGTGTCACTTGCCTGTAATGCTTTATAATGTGGTGAAAGGGCAGGGTATTGGGATTAAAAGATCTAAAATCTAATAAACTGATGGAAAAGTCTCAATGGGCAGAATGGCTCCCCTTATTCCTGTTTTCCTATTTCCTTCTGTTCAAATAGAGATTGTGTGTTAGCAAAAACTATTGGATTGAAGTGTGTGTGATATTTTTTAGTGAGTCACCAGAGAAACGTTTGATGTCCAGATTGACAGCAAGTGCTTTTTTTTAGCCATCCAAGATGCATCAAGAATTATATAATTTCTTGTATTTTGTATAGCACCAATCAAATTTAATCTCAAAATAATAATAATAATTCTTGATTTGATATAACGCCTTATCACATCTTTGAGTCATCTCAAAGCACTTCACAGAATCTACTGTAAAGTGAATTGACTGTGTATTTTGTGGACAAAATGCAGCAGCCAACTGCGCACAGCAGCGCCCCACAAACAGTCGTGGATTGAGTGACCAAATTATAATAATTACTTTTTTTGAAGGAATTATTATTCCCGGAAAAGCGATCCCCCAATTGACTAACAACTGGGTTTCTAATTACTGCTAGGTAAACAGAGGCATGTGGAGTAAGAAAACTTGGCCAATGTTTTGTGCTGCCGTGAATCGAACCCAGCTCTCTCACTTGCAAGGTAAGTGCTCTAACCACTAAGCTACAGGACTCCACACATGTGCTGCACCAGGGAATTGCTGTCAAGTGTAGTGACTGTATATTTTGTTGACAGATGCAGCAGCCAAATTGGCACAGGAAGGTTGCCCAAACATGAAATGAAAGCTCAATTTATCTGGAGGATTGTTGGCCAGGAACCTGAGGAAAACTCCCAGCAACCAACACGCTAAAAAAAACACAACTAATAAATCCACTGATTAATTTGTTGTTGTAATTGACCTGACCTGAATACCCTGAGCCGTAGATCTCAAAGCTTTGATGAAATGTTCAGTGTTGGTTGGAGACACATCGCCCAGATCCACATGTCTCTTCTGCAATCTCCGGGGAACCGGCTGTACTTTCCAGGATTGATCCTCTCGGATGTGTGAGGTATGGGGCAAAAACTCTGGGAGACCACCATGACTATCCAGCTCCACCTTTCTAGCAATTCTCAACCTTAATATCTGCAAGATTCAATTGAGTGCTGAATTAGTGCACAAATGTACGTTAAGGACATTATTTGATGATTCAATGTGAAGCACTGACCTGAGTTATATAGACATGGGAGGGAGGAGGGAAGTTTCCAGGTTATTATTTCCAGTCTGCAATGATGTTTTCTTACAACCCCTCTAAAAATAATATAAACGATGAAGCACAGTGGGAGTTGCAGTAGATTATTATTACTAGTAATGATAATAATAATCCTTGCATTTGGTATAGGGCCTTTCAAGTCAGGAGGACATCTCAAAGCACTTCACAGGATTTTACTGTGACTTAGAGTGACTGTCTATTTGTAGGTGAGCGAGGCAGACCAATATGTTCCATATATGTGTGATTGTACTAAACAATTGTTATTTGTTGCAGCCTAATTTACAAACTGATTGAAGTGTTGGGGAAAAATATTTAGATTGATCACATTGTACCAGGTAAATATTGTGTCGAACTCTCTTTGTGAAATCTTGGTAGCCTTCTCTGATTTTACGAATCTTACCCCTCCACCCTCCCTTAGTTGGTGCAAATTGAACTATTTTGAACTGAGTATCTGAATCCAAAACATTTGCGTATTCTTGTCCCAGAATTTCTGTGCAGTTTTCAGTAAGGATACAATTGAGGAGCCCAAAGAGTCTGTCCAGGTTTGAAACACCAAATGTAGAAGGTGTAACTACAGTTGGTTCTAATATCAGGAAACCCAACTGTTTATCTAGACAAGCAAAGCTGAGATCTAACGAAGTGTTCAAGGGCCATCTCAGCATATTAGTCCCTAAACTAGGCTTTATCTGGTCTGCTTCACCACCACTGGAAAACCACCTTGCAGATGGTATATTTTAAGGCATGGCCAAAATACAGAAAGAAGTCACAAGCCTGCAGTTTTTCCATGGCTGGTTGTAGAGTAAATGACAATTGGAGATGCCAGATGACCAGAGTCCACTGTACACAGTGAGTAATATTAACCTTTCTCTCCTCCAATGCACAAATACTCATCCATTTTTTTCCTACAACAATAACAAATTTGTTTTTTGTTCAATAAACAAGCGCCCCCCCCAGACTGCTGGACTTCAGGATGCATGAATATGAACAAACATAATATAACACTGCATGTACTAGCCACAACAACAATAAGTTGCATTTACATCGCACCCTCCATGCCGGGTGGCATCCCAGAGCACTTAATGATGGTGGAGCCCGATTCCGAGCCAGGGGAGGGGGAAGGTGACCGTAGACACGGTCGAAAAGGAAAATCTTCAGGCGCAACCTGAAAATGGGGAAAGAGGGGATGGGACGAAGGGATTGAGGGAGGGAGTTTCATAGCTTTGGGGCGTAGTGGCTGAAGGCACGGACGCCGATGGTGGAGCAGAGGATTCGAGTGACGAGGAGGAGGCCGGAGCCAGTAGAGCGGAGGCAGCAGCTAGTGCTCTGAGGAGAGAGGAGGCAGGAGGGATAGGTGGGTGCTAAGACGTGGAAGGATTTAAGCACTTGAGCGAGGATCTTGAAGTTGATCCGCTCTGTGATGGGGAGCCAGTGGAGTTTGGCAAGGATTGGGGTAATCGGGCTGCGGAGTTTAGTGCGGGCGAGAATGCGGGCGGCGGAGTTTTGGATGAGTTGAATTTTGTGAATAGTGGAGGAGGGGAGACCAGCGAGGAGGGCGTTTGAGTAGTCCAGCCGAGAGGTGACGAAGGAGTGGACCAGGGTTTCGGAGGCTTGTGGAGTGAGGTATTGTCGGAGACGGGCAACGTGGCAGAGTAAAACGGTCCTGGTCAGGGACAGGATGTCGGGGAGTGTCAGTCACAGGAGTGTCTGTCTGAAGGAGTTAATCTTTAAACCATCTTGTTTACTGGCTGGTTAATAAATAATTATGACAACGTTAATCTTTCAGAGGAGGGCCGGGAGTTCAAGTGGTTACATTTTCTGCACAAATTCAGAACTGTACAACATGACAGAGAATTATATGTTTTTTTTAACCAGTTGTTGCATAAACAAAGCTATTTTTAAATTGTGGTTGAAGGAAAACACGGGTTTGAATTTGGTAGCAAAAGGTCTGGTGTTTCATGCTGTTAATTTATTATTCAAACGTTTTGATTTGGAGAGTGGGTGAATTTACCTCATCAATATCTGCATCAAAAGTAGAGACCAGGTCTGCGAGGAACTGCGTGGCCTCTGGTGTGAGAAGGGTTTGAAATGCCTCTTCCAGAGTTGGAGGAGGTGGCTCGAGCTCCACACCAGGTACTGTCTGCATTGGAACAGGGTTAGAGTTAGACGGATCCCATGAAAATCACCTGCAAAAAGCGATCAAAGTCTTCTGAGAGCAATGCTGTTGTTGCAAAGTAATTTTTTCTTTAATTCAACCCTTTTTTGAAAAAAACGTAACAGCGTTATTTGACAATCGCTTTAGCACAAAATCACCACATGATTCGAATTAAGTTACGTGTTGGTGAGTCCCATACCATCAATGCCGTTGGGTTTATTGCAGGGAAGATTGCAGGGTTAAAAACATTCACAGTGGATTATAAAAGTGTAAAGTCTAACATATTAGTCTGATGTTATTATTTTACAAGATGCAGCAAGAGATTTTTGGCTCACACACACACACACACACAAACACAAAACAGAACCAGTTATCTAGAAATACTGTACAAAGCTTCTGGTTGTCTCAGTTAACAATCGCAATTCCATTTGAAGGTATACAAATAAATGATTTTCATACTTACAGTCAATTGCTGGAAAGTTGTTGTCATGTTGAGCACAGTTCTCTTGCCTGAGGATTGTGGTTTTGCTGAGTTAGGGTTTATATTTGCTACCCAAGTTTCATTTGACGCATTTCGCAATCAGTCACTGGGGCCAATGAACTCCCATTTCGATATGTTATCATCCTACCAGGACATGTTCAAATAAAAGGAATCGAAAATTGAAAATGGAAGACACAGCAGGTTAAAGAAGCCACAACCTCAAGAGTTTCAAAAGCCTCCTTCACGAGTAAAGAATGGGACATTACTGTGAGCAAATTGGCCGCCACATTTGTCTAAAATACAATATGATGTTTTTAGCACCTTCCATATGGGGAGGACATCCCAAAGCACTTGACAATTCTGCCTGGGCACTGGAGCTGTGGGTGGGAGATGAGGGGGTGAGGAGGAGAAATTACAGTCTGCACTTTACTGTGGATCCTGTGAAACGTATTGAAACCTCTTGCTACATGAATGATGTCACGTCAACTGCATTTGCTGTGTGCAATTGGCTGCCGCGTTTTGGCAACAAAATATACAGCTAATCTACTTTACAACATATCCTGTGAAGCGCTTTGAGACGTCTTAACGATGTGATAAGGCTCTACACCAACTGCAAGGATTCTTAATATTAATAAGGCACTTGGACTAACGTGGGTAGGGCAATCTTCAGCATCGCTTCAATGTTTTCCACTCAGGGTATGAGGTACTTCCATTGTAACACCATTCTGCTGTCCCTCCGCCTCGCCCCATCCCTTGCCTCCTTCAAGACCCTCCTCTTCAACTGGGCCTTCAATCACCCTCCTTCCCCCTCTGCTCTCCACCCTTCCTGATCCTGATCCCAGCTCGGGCTCGAAACACTGATTGTCCAGCGCCTTGGGACATCCTCCTGCCGTGTAAGACACAATACAAATGTAATTTTGCTGTTGTTGTATTTCCTTCCCAGTTGCTTCACCCCCTTCTGGGAAGATAGGGAAATGTCTGTAGTGAAACAGGGAGATTTCCAGTCTTCACTAACCTGTTGCTGAGTATCTTAGGACACTGAGGCAGTTTGATGGCAGGAATGCCTATTTGCCAAAGCCCCTCACACAAGGACTGGTTGTGGTGGCAGTGGAGGCAGTGGAGGAGTGTAAAGTTCAGAA